TCTGGTAAAAAAATTCAATTTCTTTAGCGTCTCTGGTGCCATAATCCTAGAGGTAACGACTGCGCCTCGGACTGCAAAGGTCCTAGGCTCGAATCCGACCATGACTGTTTCATTTTATCGATCTATTGTCTGCCTATGTTGTGTCGGCGTCGTTGCATTATCTCGGATTTTTTGTTCTCTGGCACTTTAATTGTAAATGAAAGTAATGTAAAATGTTCCGTCTGCTTGCAATGCTAATTGTTTGTGGTGTCTAGAGTAGTGCGAAGCTCCGATTCATCTCTATTAAATAACAAAAACTTTTTGCTAATGCGTTGAAAATTGCGAAAATATTTAGACCATTTTTTTTCTTGACTCTTCGAATGAACGAAGTGATTTTTTTTTATTCCTTCACTTCGCGCAGTTTTTTTTGTTGCAAACAATCTGTTTTAAACTTAAAAAGTATGGAAAAGTATGATGGATATTTTCGTCGAACGGTTTTGTATTTAGCAAAGATTCGCACGAAGTGGTTCCAAAAGCAGATTCTGAAGCCAAGAGGTCAACGTGTTACATGGAGATAGCTATCGGAGGCAGGAATGTGGGTCGTATTGTTTTCCAATTGTATGATGACATCACACCAAAGACTGCCGAAAATTTCCGAGTTCTGTGTTCAGGTAATCCATCTTTTATCTATCTATATATGTAAATGCGGGCATCACTATCTCGCCATGTTGAAAGCTTTTTCAACGTACTATTTTTGCATGTTTAACGAATGACTTTTTCACATTTATGCTATATCGTATATTGCAATGCTAAAGAAGTTTTTCGATTGTCCTGTGTGAGTAGTAGATGTTGGAGGTTAAGTGGAGGGGGTCCCTGCAGACCCCCATGTTGTAAGATAGGGGATAGAGCAACCGGTCTGCAAGCTATGTATTAAGATAAGGCATAGATCCTACAATGTATTAAGATTGGGAATGGCATTGGTAAGGTCTGCAGGGACCGCACCCCCCCCTCAACCCCTCTCCCCCCCCCCCCCCCCCCCCCCCCACCCCCACTTAACCTCCAACATCCTACTACTTGTGTGAATTCAGTATTTATTTCGCCATTTTTGAAAACAAGCGATCCAATAGTGGGGTGCTGCCAAGGTAGTCTCAGGAAGTTCATAGCTGGCCTCGAAATATAACTGCTCAACGCCTCCTACTTTCTTATTTTTTCTAATTTTCAAAGTTGTTATATTTCAAATAAAAAAATACCATTAAGTTTAAAATTGTCGGACTTTTTGGTGGGGGTGATGTCAGTTTTCTATCAGCAATTGCAGATTCCCTCCTTTTCCGCTCCATACAAATATTTTTGCTCAAGTTTTCGAATTTTACGTTTTCTAAACTGACTTTTAGGGTGTTGTGATATTTCATAAATATTATTTCAAAGAAAAAAAAGAGTCTGATAAATTAGTACGCGGGATAAAACGCTTGATGGCAGTAAATGATAAACGTGAGGGCTTGTAAAAAGCACTGTTGGATGCCTACGTCTAGTTTTACGTTTGCATATAGTTTTTTTTGAAAATCTGAAACCCTACAATTATTTGAGCCGTGCTTTAGGGTGTTTTGAAATAAGTCAGCACTTGGTTCAATGTGTTTCTTTTCTAAATTTGGAATAGAACTGATAGCAAGTAAACAATTTTTCAATTTCGTGCCACATACCTATTAATATGGAAATTTAAAAAAAAAACAGCTGAAATTGATTAATCTAAACAAAAATATCAACATCATTACAACCTGCGAAATCAAATTTCTTGTAATCGGGAACTAGACTTTTTCCCTTTAATCAACTTTTCCTACACATTTTTAAGAAATTGTGAAGTTGCTTTATTATTAGTGAACTTCGAGACTGCTTACCACTTAGCCCAGAAGTTACGTTGTTACATTTGTGCCCTACGGTCTGGGGTTTGAGTCCCACAGCAACTTATTGTTTTCAATTTGAAAGAAATTGAAAAAGCTTGTTGTACGGGAAATTTTGAGCTGTCGGACTTTCGTTTGTCTGCGTGTGTTCTGTTTGTTCGGTTGCCAAAACTGGGATTTTTATGCTGTGAATGTTATCAATTTTCATCGTAGATTGTAGTTTGGCCCTGATGTGTTTTTTTTGGTTTTTAATTTCGTTTTTTTTTTGCTTAAAAGCTTTGCTCGGCCTCAATGATTTCGGTATGTTTTATCGGTTTAGTAACCTTTTTTTTATGTCGCTCCAAGAGCAAAAAATGATTGATTGTGGTTTTTCAAAGAATTAAAGGTAGCTTGTGTTCCAAGATTTCAAAGTTTGAAAACTCAATTGTTCCGAAATTTTTAATGTCACATCTTACCACTTTTTATCGTCTTAGTGGCCCCTTCGGTAAATAATAAAAGCTTATTTTTTAATAGTGGTTCGTTTAATTGACCGTTTTCCACTTTTTTCGGGTTAACAACTAGTTTAACAAAATTATGTTTTTTATGATGCTGCCATGTTTTTTATGATGCTGCTATGCAGCTGACAGGTTAAATTTCATGAAACTTAGCTCAATAACTGGGTGGGTACTAGTTTCTACAGGGTAGTTTTTTGCAGATCAACTGGTGTGTGCTCAAAGAATGTCGGCCTTGTTTCCGCTTCATAAGTCTTGTTCTGTTGCTAATTTGAATTTAAATGTCTTGCGTGGCATGTTTGTCTAGAATTGATTTTTGATAAAAAACAGTTTTGATGAAAAGGTATGTGATTGGGTTTTTAAATTTTATTTTTTTTTGAAATGCTGTGGTAAATGTTTTATCGCTTTTCGCAAAAAAAAAATTTTTTTCTCAAACCCCTATACATATTTTCAAAAAACGGTTTTCCATAGAAAGAACGACGACACCCTTGTTTGCTTGCATACTCCCCTGGCCTTTTGTCTACAACCTTCGAAAACTAACCTACCGTATTTGAGATTTTTATTCGAATGAATGGAGCGGATGAAACCTCCCTTCCATAAGTGGCTACGCTTAAACTTTTTCACATAAAAAGTTGTAGTCCTCTGAAAAATCTATTTTTATTTTATGAGCGTTTTTCTAAATTTTATGAATTTCAACCGAAAAATTTCCTTTTATTTGAGATTTTGGGTTCAATGCAAAGAAAGAGTCATGGGAAGCTCCTTTCCATACACGAGTACGCCCAAATTTCTGACACAAAAAATATGGCTTTTGAAAAGCCAAAGTTTTGATTTTTTGGCTGTATATTGAAACTTTTTTTGACTTTTATCGAGAACTACCCAGCCAAACGTGGGGTTTTGGGTTCAATCGAAATTACAGGCTGGGTAAATCTCTTCTGCCTAAGCAGGTACGCACAATTTTTTTGATGATTGTCGGAAATATCAACCAGTTGAATCGTATGCAATAATCATCGTATCTAATATCATCGTATGCTGTATATCGTATGTTTTCATTGTAGTTGCTTTTTTTAAGGTTTTTATTTACTCCTGCAATTTGTAATTCTACAATCTTGACGTATTTTTTTTCGTTTGAAAAGTTTTTCAGCATAAATGATTTCAGCTTATTTTTTATGGTCTTACTAACTTAAATTTGGGTCATTCGAGGAAACGATAAATTGTATGCTTTCCTCTTGATCGCACAGAGCGTTAAAAATCTCATAAAAGAATTTATAGTTCAAAGTTTTTCATGAAAACAGTTTTATTTTTGCTCGATAGTTGATTCTGAATTTTCATTAAACGCCGTCGAATGTGTTTCTGGACATGTTTTTTGCCAAGAGAACATTGTTCCAGATAATATTTTGAATTTTTTAGTTGTGATTTTTGAAAATATTTCCGTTTGCTTTGGATTTATTAGCTCTCCTTTCTTTCCCTGTTTTTTTTTATTAGCCACTGGTCGTGCTCAGTGCAGGACCAACCGAGGGGGAGGGATATGTCATCTATCTCGCCGCAGCCGGTCATACCTTGAGGACGCGGATGAACCTGGGACCCCTTAAACCTTGACCGAAGTGGGATTCGAACGCATGTCCCTCGTTCCCTCGTGGTGAGAGACGTGTTCCTAACCCACTCGGCCACGGCTGCTCTTTCCCTCCCTATATGCTAGCTTGCAATGCTATTTTTGCGATATCGCAAGTGATGCAAAAATTAAAATTGAGCCTAATCCGGGGCGCCCTTTCATGTCATTGCGGTTTAGGTGAAAAAGGTTTTGGGTATAAAAGCTGCCCATTCCATCGGATCATTCCGGAATTCATGTGCCAAGGCGGAGATTTCACCAATTTCAATGGGACTGGCGGAAAAAGTATCTTTGGAAAGAAATTCCCTGATGAAAATTTTGATGTAAGTTGACGATTTTATTCAAGACATTTTTGAAGTGATTGTCAGCAGAAAAAAAAATTGATTTAGTTTTCAGGTTTACATATTTAGTGGTCTAATTATTTATCTTGAGGTAAAAGATGAAAATGCACTAAAATTGATTTAAAAATGCATATCACAACACTCCCAGGAGAATGAAGTTTGGATCTAATCTTGTCAAAAGCTACGCACAAAAAGGCTATTAGTCATAGACCGCACATAAACAACTCGATCACAAGGCCATATTTAGGGAGAGGATTAGTAGTTTGTGTAGTAGTAGTAGTAGTAGTTTGTAGACCAGTGGCGCCGGGGGTGAGTAGAGAGCGGAAATGTAAGCGGAAGCTAAATGTTCCACACTGCTCTAGAACGTTTCAAATGGTCATTGATTGTTCTAGATTGTTCCAGTACTTTTATAGACATATTTCGATAGAAATGGTAGCACAGAGTTATTGATAAAAATTGCTCGCTCCTCTGCTCTATTTACACCCGCAAACTTTAATGAACATGGTGGAATAGTACGACTATTCTTTTTTGTAACTTTTGGTGCCACTTTTGTGCTTTGACATTTGTAAAGTAATAAAGTTAACTTAGCTGATGTATTTTTTTCTCAATAAACGAACGGAAATAAGCAATTTGTTTCAAATAACAACAATAATACAAACTCGATTTCAGAATTTTTCTCTTTTTTTTGAAATGCATAATTATTACAATGTGGCTTGCTTTCCAATTTATTTCATGCAAAATTAGTGTGGATGGCTTCAGTTTGTTATACTCCAAATTATTGTTTGTAAATTTGTGTCTATTGGTGTTTGGTGTCACTTTTGTTTCATCGCATGGGCGATTTATTAGCACATGTAGCTGCTTTATCTGTGACTAGTGTTTGCCGATTGTTAAGAGTTCGTGACCTAGTTTTTTATCAGAAGGTTTCTTGAACCGAAATTATCTCTAATTGCAACAATTTTTATTGAAAATAGTTTTTTCATGTAACAGTTTGTTTCGGGAAAGCTGCTCGTCTCAAAATTAACTTTTTTAATCATTTTTTTAGATTAGAAATAAGAAAAAATTAAAACGTGAAGTTTTTTTAAAATAAAGATTTCCAGAGTATTTCAAACTAACATCATTTTTCTAAATAACACACAACTAATCAGTTGTTCTGACAATTTGTTTTTTCATTGACTTGCTATCAAATGCAAGTCTGAATTATTATCCGGATCGTTTTTTTAAAATTTTTCCGGAACAAATTGATTTGAGCGGCAACTGAGAAGTAGCGCTAACGGAAATCATTTATCCTTTTATTTTAAAAAGCGTCATAAATAGATCGTACGTGTTTGGTGTTTATGAATCAAAACAAAGATCCAAAAATCGAAAATCAGTTAACCCGGTTATTTCTAAATAGATATCGTATCCAAGAAGGTTTTTATCGTATCCAAGAACAAGGCTATAGAAGAAGAATCTGTTTTCAAGGAACAAACTTTTATTCCATAATTTAACGAGACGATAGGAAAAGTAGAAATACATATCAACGAAAAAGAACGGAGCAAAGATATGCAGACAGTATTTTCAACAGAAGCGTCCGATATATGTCTAAAACCTGGCGCGCGGTTTTTTTCTGGGACAAATTTGAACCATCTTATCTGTCAGATATTGATAAAATTCATGCTTTTTTGTGTATTCAAACAGTGAGGAGTATGGTTTTGTTGGTGATACTAAATCATAGTACCAGCGTGTTGTTTTTCTGGGACAAACTTAAACCAACTTATCCGTCGGATATTGGTAAAATTGATGCTTCTCTTGTGTTTTCAAACACTGTGGAATAAGGTTTCAATGGTAATTCTAACTCACGGTGTTACTAAATCACAGACTTTTTCAAAAAAAGCAGCCATTAATTAACATGTTTGCCTTAAAAAAATTCCTCAATTCAATTGTTTCAGATTAGTTTAGCAGATTTAGTAATTTAGATTTAGTAGTTTCCGTTTTGTTTTTTCAATTTCTTTTTGTAGAGTTTCCCGTTTATATTTTCTCCATTTTTGGCCTCATAGACTTCCGATGGTATAAATTGGCTTGATTGCGTTATATTGCATCGTGCGATTGGCAAAAAATTTCTTGTGAGTGTGTTTGTGTTTCGGGGGGACTAGTAATGTTTTCCAAATGTTTCATAATTCATGTTTTTCATGATAATAATTTTTACTCTGCACGTTTTGTTGACATGATGACTGCTGGGTAATTTTAGTTGAGTGGATAAAGGTAGTATATTTAGAGCTCTGTAAGACTTACCTTTGCCGCCTAAAAAAACTTAGTTAGTTGTAAATGGTACATACAAGATTCTGTACTGTGATTTTTTTTGGCAAAGCTTTCCTATGATTTTAATTCAGTCGGCTTATTTCCCATTCGTTTTGTTTTTCTCTTAATTTTTGTCCATTGTTTCGAAATCGAATCGCCTTCAGCAATCTATTCAAGAAGGCTTGAAATGAACTTCGCCCACCCTCTTTAAAACAAAAAATGTTTTTTTTTTGCACAGGTAAGTTTGATCGAAATTTTACTTGATACTTCTTTGTTGATTTTTTTTTGCGTTGAAGTCATATCCTTCGCGATGATCTTCATTAAAATAAGTTTTTTGCAGTTTGACTGGTGTAATTTTTTTGATCAGTTTTTTGTCAATTGATTAAGAGTAATGAACGTAGTCAGTACTCTTATACAGGTCTTGCTGATTTTTATAGGTCTTGCATCTGACAAGGTTAATAAACAAAACCACGAAAAAAGCAATGATTGCCGGTTACTGTGCAATTGGCACAGAATAGAATGTTCCGACCATAGCTTTAAAAATACAAGAGTTTTTTTTTCGAATTGTTGTCATTTTTTCTCGTTGTGGTATGATAAAAGGAGCTGAGCATAAAAATGGAGATTAAGTATTTTCGACAGTCATAGTAAAATGAGCAAATTGAAAAACAGTTTTTCAAAGAGAAGTTAGTTGAAAAATGGAAAATAATTATATATATATATATATATTTTCATTATTACAGTTTTTGAGCTTTTCGAAATTTTGATTCGAAAAATGCGCTAAAATGCTCAAAGTAAACTAAAGTTACTCAAGTAAAACTAAGTTTTAATTTAAGCTATTCTAAGCTTTTAAGCAGTTAAAATAAGACTGCTCGCTTGCTTTTTGCGCTTGAATAAGACGAAATATAAAAAATTTTGAAGCGGATTTTCTCAACACGGGGAAAAGTTTTTTGAAATTTTTTAAGGTGGTTCGAATCACGACTGTAAGTGCTCTACTATGATCTATCATACAAACCAGTCCGATGATAATTCGTGGTACCTGATTTTGCGTGGAAAACAAAAAGAAAAAACAAACTAAAATACACCCGAATATAAAGTTCCGCTCCATTTCAATGGTCGGAACAACAAGGTTAGCCGGTTACTGTGCAAGTAAGGCAGATTGTTCCAAGCATAGTCTTTAAAAATTACAAACGTTTTTTTCAAATTAGTGTAGTTTTTTCTGCGTGGTGTGATGAAAGGATCTGACGTATAAGTATATTTTAGGATTATTCGACAGTCATAGTTGTATAGGCAAACAGATCAACATATTTTGAAAAAGTTGACTAGAAACACAAAAGTTCATAAAAAGTTTTTCAAATTTTTTTGCGGAAATTTTTTGAATTTTATTTCCAAAATGGAAATAACTCGCTCGAACGTTTACTCGCTCGAACTTCTGGAAAAATTGTTTCAAAGTTTTTTTTAATGTTCGAATCATGAGTGAAAGAGCTCTAATATGATATATCACTCATCTCTCTCTGATGATTTTTTGTGGTAGCTGATTTGGCATGGAAAAAATACAAGAAAAAAAAATTAAAATAACCCAAATACAAAGTTCCTACCTTTTTTCAAATGTTCGGAACAACAATCGATAGTTTCAGAATGAATCTTCTAGGTATTTTCCACTTCCTTTAAATATATAAAATAACTAATCCAGGCGCCGAGAAAGAGCGTCAGACTAATTCCTACCTAGATTGACCTAACCTAAAAACTAATATTATTACTAAAAACTTCAACATTGTTTCTGTAGGTGAAGCACGAGAAACCTTATCTTCTGTCTATGGCCAATTCGGGACCAAACACGAATGGCAGCCAGTTTTTCATAACTACAGCTGCAACCACGTGGCTAGATGGCAAACATGTTGTGTTTGGAGAGGTAGTCCAAGGTGCTGATGTAGTGAGACAAATGGAATCCATGGGCTCCAAAAGTGGCAAGCCTTCTCAAAATGTTACAGTTCAGGATTGTGGAGAAATCAAATGAACTTATTTGCATAATATTCCGAAATATTTGGAGTTGATCCCCAGTTGTAAGGATGAAAGCACAGTCTTAGGCAATGTTTCGACTAGCTGTAAATGGTTTCCAAATTTGCCAGCGCTAAATAACTTGCTTCTGTGATTTTGATGAGTGTTTATGCTCTGTTTATTGATACCTTTGAAAATGATCTTTTAAGTCTTTTTATAGAGAACATCCTCTATTGTCAATAGATATCTTAAAATTTAACGTCTCAAGATACATTTGTTTTTTCCCCCTCAATTACTGAATAGCTGATTGCATCTGGCATTGGAGTCAAAGGCTGATGCAGCCATCTTTACTACACATCATAACGAAAAATATATATTAAAACGTGCCTCTGTAAGATTTGAAGCTACCATTCATGTAAAATTTCTTCAGCCATTCGCTATAATGTAAGTTCAGCTGCAAAAAAAATTACTTTATTCACGTTTTATCGATGCTGTCAGTATTCAACTCTTGAACTGCAGTGTTATCCAGAAAATGGAGAACGCATTACTGATTTGAAGCTAACTCCTTTTGACGAAACCTTGGAAATATAAATTATGCCACGAGCAGAAGACAAGTACGAACTGCAGACGGTGCAAACTAAAACCGATAAACCACTCCAGCATCAACCATGGCAAGTTTAGCCCAGATCCTAATTTGAAAACTTTTTTGGAAATTTGTTCGATCCTATTTTATTAGCGAATGTTTGTTTTGTCCTAACCAGCATACGACAACCTCCGCATTTTGAAAATGTTTTGAATATGAGCAAGGTTTTCAATTTAAGCAATTGCTTAACGCAATGAGGACCACTATGGAGGTCGTAGCACGTGTTTTTGGCCAGCCGAACTCGAGTTAACCTCCTAAGTCGCGTAAAGGTAAATTTGCGAGTGAATCTACCTTTAGGCCCTTTAGGAGGTCTTCCTTTAGGCCCTTTTTCCTTACCCCCCCCCCCCCCACCTCACACGAGCTTCATTATATTAGTGTAACGAGTGGTTTTACGAGGTTCAGTATGAAGACCAAATATGTTTGCCGTGGCCTTATTAGTCTGTATGTAAATTTTTGTAGCAATCGGACAATGTGGTCAACAAATTTGCATGTGAAAATTTGCAGGTGGGGGGGGGGAAGGAAAAAGAGCCATAATTTTTTCCTTCCCCCTAAACTCTTTTTCCTTCCCCCCCCCCTCCCCCACCTCACACGACCATCAATTTTATGGTGTAACGAGTGGTTTTACAAGGTTAATTATGAAAACCCAATATGTAGCGTAGCGGTAGAGAAGGAGAACAGCAACAAAACATCCGACCCTGCACAGGTTCGGGGGTTCGAACCTGTCCAGGGTCGAATGTTTTTAATGAACTTTTTCGTATACTTGTTAAAATGCGTCCGCTCTATCAATTCAGGCATGTTAGTTGGTAGAATCCTTTTTTAAATTGACTGTTACTGCTAATGCGTTATAAATGGCTTGCGTCACTTAGCAACTATGTAGACTCAAAATTTGCGTGCGTCACAGAATTTTTGTAGAATCGAAGTTTTACTTATTCAGTTTTTCCCAGTACAATTATCGGTCATATTTATGATTGTGTATGCGAAGTGCAACTTCGTCTCTTTGTGAAAGTTGGCATTACCCAATACCAAACACATTTTTTGCACAATTTTTGTACCTTGCATTTCAGGAAAAGTGGTTACTGGAAAAGATCGAAAGTTCAAATGCGACAAAAAATGTGACGGTCTTTTGTGACTGAAGAATTTAATTTTCAGTTTTTTCTGCGGATATAAAAATAAAGGCTCTTTTCCAGTCCCCCCCCTTTGATTTTTTCGGAAAGTCATTTAAAATGACTTTTCATGTTAGAAACTGCAATAAGACGTGTCAGCGCGAACAGGTGAACAAATTTTTGAACATCTTTGTTTTGTAATTTACCGGGGGTAGGAAACTTGAAAAGAGCTAAAATGAATTTTTGATCCAGTCTTTGGGCTAGTTTTCCACTCACCCCAATTCAAATTTTCATTTTTATTAGTTGTTTTTACGTTTGCTTATGGCTTAGTGCGTAATGTTACTCTGTAAAATATGAAGAACAGGTCTGTTCACAATAGTTAGTTTCTTCATCATGCAACTTTTCATTAAATAATTACAATGCTTAAAGAATTTTTCAAAACTGAAATTAAATGTAGGGGGACAGCCCATATTTTTTTGCGCCTAAATGAAAATTGCGCCAAAATGAATTTTTTTTTGCTTTCTTGAATTTTATTGACATTTTCCTACTGTCTCTTGGCTATGCTCAAATATTTAACCCCTTCCAATTTGTTTTCTACTTTACTCGATTGGTTTGGGCTCATTTTAACTGTCAATTTAATGCCATAATATTTTAGATTTTTTCTGTAGAATAATTAAGATTCTTATTTTAAGCTCTTCACATTGATAGTTAAAAGGCGATGAACTAAACTTCAGGGCAATAGTTTTTTGCAAAATTTATGGTGCAACGTTTTTCCCCCTGTTTTCCGCCTGTCTTTTGCAGTATCGGTGTATTTTGGAATCTGTCTGATTGTTCCGATTCTTTGAAAAATGTGGAGGAACTTTGTATTCGGGTGTGCTTTATGTTTTTCCACGCAAAATCAGGTACCACAAATAATCCGCAGATTGTTCCGAGTGACATATCATTTTAGAGCTCTTTTAGTCATATTGTGAACGACATTAAAAGTTTTTGAAACAGGTTTACCTGAAATTCGAGCGAGTAAAGTGAGCGAGCATGCTTATTTAGGCTTATTTTAGGCCGTTTACAATAGCTTATTTATGCTTAAATTTATTTTTACTTTATTTTTAGTTAAGATCTTTTAGTTGGAAATTTTTGAAAAATATATGGAGTAAAATTGTTGGATATTTACTGGAGAATAAAACGATCTTATAAGGAAGATTGCATTGTTCATTTTGTTGGAAATATACTCGAGAATAAATATATTGCAGCTAGATAACACAAGGCTGCTCGTTTCAGGGCAACGCTCTGAATGTTCTGACTGTCCATAAACTGGTCTCGAATAGTTTTTGGTTAATGAATTTTTGACAAGCTATTTTGAAAATTAAGAATCGTGTTTGGAACTAATAGGACTAATTAGCCTGCCTTAATTGAACTTGGAACGATTTTGTGGTGTGGGATAATTCGCCACGCGTAAATAATGCGCGTTATAGTTTCAACATCAAAGTATCACACCGCTTTTACAGTCACGTTAGTCTATTAGTGAGCGTTCACAGCAATCTTTAAACCAGGATAGCCTTATGGTGAGCGCCCCATCTGGGATCACAAAGATCCTTGGATCGATCCCCCGAGGAAAGAATTTCTGAGAATTGGTCTGAACAAAAAACCACCCTGAGCATACATATTCTTACTTCCTTCGAAAGTCGAACAAAAACGAAATAGTTTGCTCCGTACAATTGCTTCACATATTTCACCTCCAGCAAAAGCATTTTAACTTTTACAACCACGCGCGCTGCAATTTACCAGGTCAGCTCTTGTAAGGTTGTCATAGCTTAGTTAACCTTAAATAATCGACCTCTGGGTTAGGTCTCTGGCTGGTTAAGAAAAAGGAATATCTAGTTAGTTATTGTCAGTATTTTTGTATCGCATGCACTGTTTACTATCAGCCAAATTCTGCAGAAGTGCAACACAGGTAAGCAGAGAGCTTACATAAAATGATAGTTAAGTACAATCTTTGTGTTTGACTGAGCGATTCCTGCTCACAAGAAGCTTTTGTGCTCTCCTCCTCAGATATCCAGCAGTCTAGATCATAGCTTTTGAAAAGTTTGTCTGTCGTCGAAGTTTGGTGACCTACCTTACGAGGCCAAACTGTGTGTTTTGTGAATTGTAAGCGGATTCCGCAACAAGGACGCTCCCTTTGATCTTCCTTTGTTCTTTCGTTTCCGTTGATTGTTTCGACAAAATCTTAACATGTTTACACTTGCGACCAGCTCAGTGTAATATTATGAACCTTGTTTTTTCTAACCTAACTCGCAAACAAAAGTGTTGATTAAAAATGTTCACTTATTTGGAAATTTCATTATAGCATTGGAAATTGCATCTGCTCTATTCTTTATTTGTGGTTTGTGTTTGGTGCCTATTAAACGTCTGTAGCTGAGTTGTTAGCGTGTGGTGAGACTCTTAATCTCTAGGTCGCAGGCTCGAAAATCTCTTACTAATTCGAGGCTTGTTTCTACTTTTACTTGTTGCACTTTATAGAGCTGCTTTTTGTCGTGTTGTCGCAAGTGTTTGCGAAGTGAAGCTCCGCCTCTGTGTAAAAGACTTGTCTCTGGATTCCAGAGAAATAACTACTCACCCCAAATTGTGCGCCTATACAGTGCAGAGCTTGGCCTCGTAATGTAACTTATGTGTTCTCATTTAGTTTTTCCACTAAGACTTTCGCTTTTGATTTCTTTTTAGTTCATTTTTTTTTGTTTAAAGGAAGGCAAACTCCACTATTGAAAAGCTAAAGTGTAAAACTCACGAAAATTGTGATCGACTTCTAGTTTCATAAGTGGAAAATAAATTTCAGATCTCCTATCGAAATATAATTTGGTCAAGTTTTCTCAAATTGGGTTAATTTTATTTAGAAATTTACTTTTATCAAAAACTGTTCTAGAAATTCAAAGAGCGTTGAGGCAATCTATTTTTGTCTCTGAAATTCGGAAGTTGAGGTCTTTTCAAACAACAAGTTGAGAGATTGGTATGAAAATCAACATGTTAATTGGAAAGTTTTTTATGTGCCGCAATGATCCTTAATGCTATCAGAAACTCGAAAAAAGTTAACTGAACGTTTTTTAATGTTATAGGTACAGAGAACGGTTTAGAAGTCAGCACCTTAAGGAACTGCCTGGGGATCGATCTTACCCTCACTTGGTTGGATCGGAATGGACATTTGTGAAGGATGGACTGGATGACTTCAGAGATGGATATCCTCCTGAACCAGAAGGCGGTGGAATCATCAAAGTGAGACACTAACTTGCGGGCTTGAGTTTTAAATGGCTAAGAGTCAAATGATTATTGCATGAAAAAATTTTCCCGAAGATAAATACAAGTCCTGTTTATAAACAACCCTGTTGAAGATATTTGCGTTGCATTTAAAAAATATATATCTGAAAAAATGTGGTTTGACAAGAGCACACATAGCGTCTTTTTATCCCGATGCGTTTACAATTTCAAAAAATTGCCGTCTGTTTGACAGATTCATATTTTTGTTGTCTTACTTTAATCATTCATAATTTTTCTGATTTAAGAGCTGGTATTGACACATTTGCCCCTCATACATTTCGCCTTTAATGAAGTTGTTGGCACATTCAACCCAAACATATTATGCCCTCACATTTTTTTGCCCTTGAATAGAGTTTTGCTGATGAGTGATGCGTGCCAGGCCATTCCGAAAAACTCAATTCTATAAAATTCTAAACGACAAAATTATACTCCAAGTCTATGGGGAAAAATTGTGTTAAATACTATTGGCGAAACAAAACGTGTGAGCAGGGGCGGATTTAGGGGTGGGGGGGGGGAGGTCGAACGCCCCCTCCTTCTTCAGGTATTCGACCCCCTGCCGACCCAAAGGGTCCCCCTTTGCTCGTTTTTAAGAAATCCATTTTTGGTCGACCGACCGTAAAATTTTTCTTAAGGCCGTAAAATATACTATTTTTTGAGGAGGAGCGCGCGCCAAAAAACGCAATTTTTTTGTCAACGTTTTCAAAAAGTGTCCAAAAACGTCTCTTTAGTGCTTTAGGAGAGCTCGAAAAATCAATTTGGTCACTTAAAAAAAGGTCGTCAAAATTTTCGACAATTTTTGAAAATCCGCCCACCCCCCTCGAGAAAAATCCGCCCCCCCCCTCGAGATCCGCCCCTGCGTGGGAGTGTGCCAATAAGATGTATGCGACATGCGCTGCGCCACTAAGATTAAAAAGGGGAAACGTGTCACATTCAAGAGAGCTCCAGCTACGGGTGATGGTCCGCTTTAGCTGATACCTTTGAAAATAATTCTGGTTGCTTTTGACTTGTAATTCATGGGGTTATTTTCATATCAGCCCATGAATGGCGTAGCTCCTCAATTGCAATCCTACCACAGAACTCCCAAGCAACAGGTGAAGCCGAGTCTGAACAAACATCAGGTGCTCTACAGTAAGACCCTACCGGGACAGGAGAGACGAAGGGACTACCTGGACTCTTTGATCAATGGACTGAAGGACCACCCTTTGGCCCTGTACTCTCACATTGAAGAGTCAGTCCCCGCTGATGTGAGTAAATAGCGTGTCTGTACAAAACAGTCCAATACAAAACAGTCCTGCACTTAATAGTCCGAAAAATTATAGCTAAGTTTAAAAAAAACAGTCCCAAAAATAGTCCAAAGTACAGTCCCGTTGATCGAAGTTGTTATTGTTCCAGAAACTGAAAAGAAAATTTCTCTCGGATTAAAAACATTTTGATTCCAATTAATCTGGATGACACAACGGCAGACTATTTCTGCATCCCAGCATGATGTGAACCGAGAAACAGCTGTTTATTTACCCAGTTGTTCTGCTAATCAGCAAGCTTAACAAGCTGTAACGCGAAACAAAGAGCAAAGATGGTAGAGCCAAGTTCGCTGACTGGCTTTGATTCACCACTGGCCCTACAGAAAACAAATATTGGTAGGCTGACTTCTCAAGGACGACAGAAGTCCAGATTTGACATGTAGCCAAAGAGTTGCCATCAAAGAGAAAAAAAACTACTTTCCCGCACCAGCAACGCTGTAGACGGTTGGAACAGCAATTTCATGAGACTAGTCAACCGAAAGCACCCTTAATTTCCAAAATTCATCGAGAAGTTCAAGGACAAATTAAAGAAAGCGGAAATTCTGTTAGAAAAAATGTGCGCGGGACAAAAATTAGCCAGACCTAAAAAGGTTGCATACCAAAAGATTGACGAAAACTTAATCACTATTTTAAGGTCATATCAACCCAACAATATCATTGGGTTTTTGAAAGCATGTAGTTAAAATATTAAATTAAAATCAGAAGTTCCTTTTGTTTTCAAATTTCAATTTATTTCCGCATTGCCAAGCAATAAAAACTTTCAAATTTTCCTTAATTTTTCAAAATTGAGCAAGAGTTGATTTGAAACCGGCAAAATAATGGATACAAACAAGGTGTCAATTTTCTCCCCCTCGCCCAACTCTCTAAGGTTGAACCCTTTGTTGTACTCTAGATATACCCGTTATCATATTTACCCAAATTTCAACTTTTTTCGGAAAATTGGAAAAAAGTTTTGTACCGCCGGGGATTCGATTCTTTGATCTCTAGAGTTTGAGTCTACAGCTTTTACCACTATACCATGAGGTCTTTGATTTTGGTATGACTTATTATTCGATATCGGCGCCAAAAGTTCAAGGTCAAAAAATTCAAATGGTTTCGGACTCGTTTGTATGGGACTGTTTTGTATATTCACCGTTAATAGATAACATATTTAACTTTGTCGTACAATGGTCTAACTGGACTTTTCGCGTCATTTTCATGAACTTCCTGAAATTTCTATGGTGTTTTCAGTGCCTTGCTTTTGATAAATTAAATCGAAAAAAGTTACCTTAAAAGTTAAGCATAATATCCCATTCAAAGAGGTAAAAACAGAATGATAATTAGTTCATAGATTGTGCTATGGTACCGTACGAAAGTTGAAAATGCTTATGCTCATTGCCGCAATCGATTTATACTCGTGGAAATTGAGCGGAGATTAACTTTTTTTTACCTAGTGCCGATCATCGAAGATTGTTGAAATTCCTAGAGCATTAAGTTTAAAATCAAAGAAATTTGTAAATTGGAAAAACGCTTCAAATCTGATGTTTTTTTTCGGTTCCCTTGAGTTCATTAACGCTCTTCAATCTGTGTGGTGGCAAAATTATTTTCCTTGAAAATCCAAAAGCGTATTCCAAAAAAATGAAAAGTGATCTGAGATTTCGCTTCAGATGTTCGAGGATCTTATCGATGCACTTGACAAAGAGATGATGCTCGGAGGATCAGTTACAGACGAAGAATACAACAATGCCCAACAGCAGCCCAGATTCCACTACCAGTCCCAGACCTATGTCCCCCCAAATCCAGGACACGATGAAGAAGCTGCCTCGGAACCAGAAGTGGCTTCGAATAATGGAGGCGGAGAAGGGACGAGGGATGCCGCCGCAGCGGCGCCAAGGGGTCAAGGAGAGCTGTTCCAATCAGGGGTTCAAAGCGCAGATTCTGGCAGGTCATCGGAGAATAAAAGCCACATTGACCCAGATCAAACCGGAAACATTGATCTGTGAGTTGTTGTTCCGACCATTGAAACTATTCGGTTGTCTTAGTTTTTTCTTTCTTTTTGTTTTTCAGGCAAAATCATGTACAAAAAAAATCATCGAAATGAGACTAGTGATATATCATATTAAAGCCCTAGCAGTAGTGTTTCAATTGATTTCAATAAAGTTTGAAAAAAAAACATTGAAAATTTGATTTTTTTTTTGGTCTAATTTCGAAGGAATAAGGTGAGCGAGCAGGCTTACAATAGCTTAGTTATGCTTAATTCAAGTCGTTGAAAAATTTGTATACTTTAATAAAGTTAGTTTCTGGAGCTTTTAGCTCCATTTGGGAAGCAAAAACTTCAAAAATTCAGAATTTCGGGAAAAATGGTTGAAAAAATTTTTAAGATTTTTTTTTCGTTTTTCTAGTCATTCTTCTTCAAAAACTTTGTCAAAATTGTCTACTTTACTATAAATGCCAACTATGCTTGAGTTCTGTTGTTCAGATCCTTTTATCAAACGAAGCAAAAAAGCACTTATTCGAAAAAAAAAAAGCTTTTTTGTTTTGTATTTTCTAAGCATCAATTTAGCATCAAATTATTTACAAACAAATAGGTTAAAATGAAGCTAGCAACTTTACCTAGGATCAGCCACATGCATTCGGCCTCACGACGCTGACCATAATGTCTATGTATTACATACACATTCTTTTTCTTTCCGAAGAAAAACCAAATCAGATGGCGAATGAAAAGTTGATCTAATTTGATATTTTAAATGTTAAACGCGATTTTTTGTAGTCTTTCAACTCTAAATCCCTTAGTACCATCTCTGGTAGCAGCATTCGTGTTTAGATTAGTCAATAATTTTTTGATATTTATTCTTAATTTTGACAGGATGGTGAAAGGTGACAAGGAAAAACTGAAACAAGCCGAAGATCGGCTTAAAATAGCCAACGAAGTCTACGACTGGCCTTCAATTTCCAAAGCCAAAGATTTATGGTTTGCACGCCCTCTATATCCCTCTTAATTCCAATTGTGTATGTTCTGTGATACTAACCTTATTTTAACAAATGATGTTCAACGTGTTCTTTTGTGACCATTTTGTTTGTCTACATCACCATTTTATGTTCTCAATTTTTGTATTACCTTGTTTCCTACTAAATGGTTTATTTCTTTGGTATTAAGCAAGTGTGTTCTGCATAACCCAAAAGCTAATTCTTGATTTTAAAAATTAAATCAAATTGAATTTCAAACCTTGTCATAACTGTTTTCCATGTCGTTAATTCCATTATTTTTTTTTGTTTAAATAAATAATAGCTCAATGCGGGATATGCAATGCCGTACGTGTGAAGTTTTTGGAGCATGCCTTAAATAACAATTATAACATTATTTTTCCAGCTTTTTGTGATCCTACATTTCAAGCAATCATAATTGTGAGTATTTTGTAGGAAGAACGCAGAACCAGTTGACCTTCTGAGCCGGCAGTCGCTGGACGAAGGAATTGGAGGAACAAGTAGCCAGATTCAGGATAGTCAGAATGGGTACAGGTGGATGGCCAGTGGTAACATGAGTAAACAACAGCAGCATCAACAACAGCATTCGGCTCGTGGACAATCAGCAGGAGCTGCACTTACACCGGCAGAGGTAAAATGAACGAGGAGCTGAAAAGCACGATAAGAATATATTATATTGGGATAATTTTCATCTGGAAAGTCATGTATCAAAAGGGAATAAGATTTAATTATGACGTTCCTGACTTCAAGTACACTTGGCTTTGGTTTTAAATTTTATCCGACTTTCGAAGAGCGTGACAGAATATTTGTGTCCGGTGTTTTTGGCTTACGCTAAAATTAAGTTTTTCGCAATTTGTATTTTGATTTTTTTGAAGTTCAGCAGTTGCTTTCTTTTGTTAAAAGGAAGGCAAACTCCAATATCGAACAGCAAAAGTCACGAAATACATGATCGTTTTCTACCGTTGAAAGTGATTTTTAATTTTTAGGTTTCTCATTAAAAAATTATTTATGATCCAGTTTTTTTTCTAATCATGTTAATTCTGATGAAAGTCTCTTCGTAATAGCTTAGATAGCCTCTCGGCTATTTAGGATGCGCATATCCAATCAGTGACCACTGGCTTCTGTCAGTGGGTGGCGGAGTTGGGAGGGGACTCAAACAACATAGACGAGTCGACAGTCATGGGACTGTTCTCAGGCGGATACGAGAGCAAACCGGCACTCTCAGGTAAGGCGATTGACGATAATTGATTACAAATCATGCAGTTCTTCCTGCTTTATAGTTTTTCTGAAATTTATCAGCTAAACCAGCGAAAAATTGAATTTGCGTTGTTAGTGGATCGACAGAGTGCTCAAAATTAGGGAAAACTTAGAAAAAATATCTTTTTTTTTCTCTAGATTACTGACTGTATGGGCGGGAAATATAACATTTGGAAAAGAAGTAAAATGTTTGCTGGTTTCTTTGCATATCATTTTGGTTTTGTACAGTGCCCATACACGTGGTCGAGTTGACCAATGTTCCTCCTGAGCTGAGGATGAACTCAGCTGCCCCTGGACAGAGCAGAATGTCAAGTGCAAGTGCACCCGAAGGAGACTCGAAACTGGTCAGAATAACAGAAATTTCCTTATTCCTTAAATTGTTAATAAATGAAAGCAACAATCTCGATTTTTTTTAGCTCAACGCTGGTTATGTACATACAAAACCGACGAAAGCAGTTAGATATGGCGCCTGGTATCTCAAACCGAAACAATGGAAGGCATTAAAACCTGGAGAGGTATGAAAAATGTCTATTTTTGAGGATCAACTTTCGTAACCTAGAGTTGCATCATTTGATTAGTGTTTTTGTGCATTTCTGATTGGACGTTTATTTTCTCCATTTGAACGATTTTCAAAACGCGTTTATTGTAAAGGTCTTTGAGATGAACAAAAATGGTGAACGATGCCTTGGAGGTCAAAAAATGGAGCATTTAGGGCTATTGAAAGCTGACAATGATGGTATCAATGGAGCGGGGCATCAAAGTACCAGTTTTTTACGTTACAGAAAGCTTTATACATTTGAATGTCCATAGTATAATTAGTGATACAGTGAGTAAATGTTCCCTTGTTTCAGGACATTACTGACCCGAATCTGAAACAGGGCGAGTTCTCGGAAGCGAAACGGAGGAGTGTGGCGCTGGATGGAGAACTGGCGAATATGCATGGGGCTAAGGAGTTCATCAAGTTCATGCGACACAAGGGCAACTCAGTGCCAGATGTAAGTAGCTACTGCGGATGTCAAAATACTGCGCCTCTATAAATCAAGTAGCTACTGCGGTTCAATAAATCAAGAAAATACTTGATTTCTTAAAATTTGGCCCGCTGCTACCCACCGCAGGGCCCTCTTGGGGAAGGACAAAGGGGATGTCATGCATTTAGCCATGGACGTTCCAACCTTTTGGGGGCTGATGAACTAAGGAACCCTCCGACCGGGATCGGCGTGGGTTTCGAACCTACTACCCTTTTAAAGCAACGCGTCTTAACCCGGCCATTCGAAAATTCTTGATGGACATTTTTTGTGGGGTTTAACAGCTGCTCTCCGTTATGAGCTGGACTGCTGTTATGCCTGTCTATTCCATCATGGATCAAATGTCTTAGCTAATTCAACTGTACTCTGAAGCTTATAAAGGACTATAATAGTGGCTGGCTTGCTTAGCTGCAATCCTTATATTGAGCATTTGCACTTGGCGAATAGCTCTAAGCATTTATTCTCTACTGATTGTTGTTCTCACTACGAAGTGACGAGGAACTTTGTTTCGAGTGTTTTGTTTGCTGACCGCTCAAAATAAGGTGCTATTATTGAACGTCAGATTGATTGGATGATATATCGTATCAAAGTCTTTTCAGCCGTGATAATTACGCTCGCAAGCGTTGTCAAATCGGAATATAGACTTTTTTGCGGATTAACAACTTGTTTAACGGAATCACTTGGTATCTTGGTTCAGGGGCCTAGGAAAATAGACGACAAGCAAATTAGACGACCGTAAAGAAACGGAATTTACGGACAACCAGTATTTACTCCGCCAAAAGTTAATTTAAGTCTGTAAACAAAATTCACGCAATTTGCACGCAAGTTATTGTCTAAATTGGACAACCAGTATTTACTCAGTCAAAAGATAATTTAAGTCTGTAAAAAAGTTTCACGCAATTTGCACACAAGTTATTGTCTAAATCCCGTTCTTTTCTGATCGTCTTATTTCCTGTCGTCTAAGTTCTTAAACCCCTTTGGTTTATAATGAATTCATATTTATAAGCGTCTCTATAGGTTGGACGTAACGAATACGCCTGGGACTACAAATGTCCTGGGTTCGAATCTTAGCAGGGCCTGTTTTTTTTTTCGAACGAGAAAATTTTCCGTTTGACTACTTATGCAACCGGCAACTATGATAGTTTCTGTTTCAAAACAATTGTCGGCTCAATATTTTTCTGCCCATTTTTTGTCGACTTAGTTGCCACATCTTAGAATTTTTTCATTTCATATTGTAGTTGTTTTTTATGTTTTCCTTTACTCCTGCATTTGTAGTTCTACTATCCTTGATTTCGCATATTCTCTTTTTTATTTTTTTTTTGCTTAGAAATTTTTTCGACAAAATGATTTCGGCTTACATTTTATGGGCTTACTAACCTAATTTTGGGTGGTTCGAGGCAATCTTAATTTTAATGCTTTCCTCCGTATCGCACAAAACGTTGAAAATCTCAGACTATAATTGGACCAAGTTAACACCCCCCCCCTCCCCCCAAAGCCGTTTGGGGGGAGGGGGGAGTTGGGGAGGATGTTAACTTAGTTCTAAGTTAGAAATTTTCAGACAATCAGAATCGATCATTTTACATGCAGCGCTTAGCAAATTTAATGCGAATTAAATGCTGGGGTGGAATATCAACTTGGTCTATCTGGGGGCGGGGGGAAGGGGGGGGGGGAGGATGTTAACTTGGCCCTATAACTTATAGTTCAAGGTTTATCATGATAACAATTTTATATTTGCTTGATAATTGTTTTTGAATTTTCATTTAACGCCGTCGAATGCGTTTCTGGGCGCTTTTTCCCGCAAATGGAATATCATTCCAGGCAACTTTAATTGTGCTCTCTTCGAAAGTTTTTCCGTTTTCTTTGGATTTAGTGGCTCTCCTTTCCTTTCCTGTATGCTAGCTTGCAATGCTATTTTTGTGGTATCGCTCCGCTTCGCCTGTGTGTAAAACAAGTTAAGCATTGAGATAAATTAAGATGCATTTAATAATTGAGCAAGCAGTTTTAGGCATGATTAATTTTACTGTGATCTACTTATGCAATGGGCAACTTCGTTAGTTATTTTCGTGCTAGCTTTGACTATGTTGAAAATTATAGTTATTTTTTAGTTTCTGTCACGTGTAGCTGCTCTGCAACAAGACGAGAGTGAAGAGAAAGGGCCATCAGGGGCGAAACTTCCGCCTTCAAGGGCTAGATCGGCAGCTGCGCCTACACCTACTGGAATGCCCTCAAAATAACCTCGGCCAGTCTAAATTCAACAGAATATTTTTGCATATGCACTATTTACATATCTTCTTTTTAAAGCCAGCTGCATTAAATCATAGATTCAAATCGAATTTGCGCGAAGCCTTTTTTTAAAATTGAGATCAAAGTGATAGGTAGAATTTAAATTTCTTTTAGAGAACCGCAGAAGCAGAGCATTTCAACTCTGGTTGGTCTCATTGAAACTGAATTTAAGATTGCATGGCTATGATAGCGAATAACATCAGTTACTGATCATTACACGCAATGGATTCGAGTGCGAATAATGAACATGTCAATGACCAAGACGCATCTTTGAGTGCGGAGCCATCAGCTCCAGCGGGTTGCCCTGGAGTTTCAAGCTCGACCGCTGGAAAATCTACTCCATGCCAAGGTTGTCCAAACCAGAGAGCTTGCTCTTCGGGTCAAGCAGCCAAGGATGTTGAAACTAGCAACGCGGAAATGAAAGAAAAATTAGCCGATGTCAAGTTTAAAATATTAGTTATGAGTGGCAAAGGCGGTGTTGGTAAAAGTACAATTACAACTGCCCTTTCGAGGTACTTAGCTTCTGACGGGGAATCACAAGTCGGAGTTGTCGACTTGGATATTTGCGGGCCGTCGTTGGCGACGATGTTTCACGCCGAAGACCAGTCTGTTCACGAGAGCAACGACAGTTGGTGTCCGGTTGTCGTAGACGAGAATCTTTATCTGATGTCGGTCTGGTTTCTCCTTTCGAGTCCCGACGATGCTGTTGTTTGGCGTGGTCCTCGAAAGAATGGTCTTATAAAACAGTTTTTGAGTAAAGTTAAATGGGACTATTTGGATTACATGGTAGTAGACACACCTCCAGGGACGTCGGATGAACATCTTTCGGTGACCCAGTTGTTGCATCAAACAGTCGGAGTGGATGCAGTTGTTTTAGTCACTACGCCTCAAGAAGTGAGTTTGTTGGATGTTAAGAAGCAGATCACGTTTTGCAGGAAAATGAAGTTGCCGATCATTGGCGTGGTGGAGAATATGGCATATTTTAGGCAAGTGGTTTCTCATTCATGTTCCTATCCAACTCAGCAACTACTAAAAATCAAACAATAATGAATAAAATGCAATTTAGAAAAACCTCAATTTAGACGCGCAGGGGTTATCAGTTCCAATTAATGATTAAACTTGTCGAAGCAAGTGTCTTGTAACAGGGACATTGGCTTTTGTCCTTTACACAGCTCTTACTTTGTACAATTCTTATTTCTTACAAAAGGGAAACTGACGAAAGCTTATGAACAAGAAGTGAAAAACAAAAAAATGATATTTGAACCCACAAACCTAAAATTGAGAAGAAAACTTCCCCCAAATTGTCAACACCAACAAAACAAAAATAACCCCAAAATCAACCATAGCATCTCAAACCACTTATTAGCAATGAAAGTTTTTTTTCCAAACTTCACATCATTTGATTGAGCCACGAACGGTTTTCCAGCTAAAAAGTTGTCTAAAAGTTTTTCAACTTATATCAGGCACAAATTGTGTTCAGATTAAGTGGTTTATTAACCAGATTGATGCCGTCAGTGAAGTTTTATCTCGTTGATCAACATATTCGAAACTATCAGTGTTCTTTAGAAAAATAAAACTGGTAAGGAGACCCAAATTCTTTTCGAACAATTTACTTTCAGGATATACTTAAGGCACTAAGGAGTGTATACATACTCAAGTTAATCAATTTGTTTCCAATGGTTGATGAGAAAAACAACCTTGATGCAAATAAGCCCTTACAGCCGAACATTCCTCCGGCTCATTTTTGAATTTCTCATCTTGTAACAATCACACTAAAGCAAAAAAGCGTCGTTGAAAAGATCTTTCTAATTACAAAACAGTGATTATCAGAACAACTTAGAAGCATGCATTTTTCCAGCTAACCAAAAGCAAAATTCTAGCCAAAATTTGATTTGAAGAAAAAAAAATAAAACTTTGTAAAATTTTATCTATGTTGACTTAGCCACAAACGGTTCTCCGGCCAAAAGACTATCTTGGAGTTTAACAAAAAAGGTATGAGACACATAAAATGTTCATTCATTGTAGTTTCATAACTAGAACAATGCTGTCAGGGAAGTTTTATCTCATTGAATGATATGTTCAAGAGTATTAGTATTCACTCAAAAAAAATTTAATAACCGAGGTTGTTTTATACAGTCTACGAGGAGTTCACATACACAATTTTAGCTTCTTAATCCAATAGATGATGAAAAAACAAAATGGAGGAAAAAATCCCTGGCCTCCAAACAAAAAAGATCAGCACAACATTCGTGAAAGCTTTTTATATTGGTTAAACGTGGAAAATAAAGAAATCTAGTTAAAATGTTCAAAAGCTAACCAAAGGCTATATCTTCGCCGAAATTCATTTTTTTTTGAAAATTTTCAATTTTCTTGTCAAACTTCATCATAATTGCTTTAGCCACCTTTAGTTTAAAGCTAAAAATTATCTGAGATTTTTCGTAAGTGCATTAGACTTAAATGGGGTTCGTTTTTTATAGGGTTGATTATCAGATTAAACCTATCAGTGAAGTTTAATCTCTTTGAACGACATGTTCGAGAGAATCAGTGTTCACTCCAAAATTGAATAGCGTAAAACGACTCAAAAAATTTACTTATTTCTTTTTACTCATTGAGGTTGTTGTATACAGTCTATGAGGAGTTCACATACACAATTTTAGCTTCATAAGTCGAATAGAAGTTGAAATAACAATTGAGTCAAAAAAGCCCTAACCTTGAAAAAAAGTCGGCTCAACTTCAGTTTTCTCAATTTTTATAAGTTGCATTATGATGAAAACGGAGTTGGAAAGCTTATTTTATTGGTTAACACAAGGAAATGAAAAGAATCTACAGTTAAAACGTTTTATAGTTAATCAAAGGCTATATATTCGCCAAAGCTCGATTTTTTTTTTTGAAAAATTTCAATTTGTCAAACTTCATCATTCTTGCTTTAGCCACCTATTGTTTCAAGCTAAAAATTTATCTGAGACTTTTTAAAGTGTATTAGACATCTATGGGAATTGGTTTTTAAAGGTTTGATGATCAGATTAAATCCGTCAGTGAAGTTTAATCTCATTGAAAGACATGCTAGAGAGTATACAGTGTTCACTCCAAAATTAAAGATCAAGAAATGTTTCAAATTTTTTTTCTGAATTTGTATTTTAAGGTTGTTTTATACACCCTATGAAGATTTCGCTTGCACAATTTTAGCTTTATAAACCTAACAGATGACGAGAAAATCAAAATTGAGTAAAAAAAGCCATAACATAGAACAAAAAAAATCAGCTCAATTTCAATGTACTCAAATTCTAAAATTCCATTATGATGATCAAGGAGTCATTGAAAAGCCCTCATTAGTGCTCAAAAAAGGAAGACAAAAAAAATTCTTACTTGTAATGTAATATAGCTGACCAAAGGCTAACTCTCCGCCAAAATTCGACTTTTGGAATTCATGGAAAATTTTTATCTGATATCTTTATAAAGTGTAGTGGAGAGAAATGAGGACCTGTTTAACTGCTTTCATGTCCAGATTGAATGGATCAATGAAGTTTCATCTCAATAAACTCATGTTGGATTGTATCAAATTTCATTACAAAATTGAAGCTCGTAAAATGGCCCAAAAAGTTTTTTTTTAATTTTTTATTTTTTGAGAGTTCACATGAATGTTTTCATCATTATATGTCAAATCGGTGATGAGAAAATCAAAAGTGAGCCGAAATGGCCCCAGATCTAAAAATTTGACCTTGGCTCAAATTTGAATTTCTCAAGTTCTAGAAATCGCATTATAGCAAATAAGTGCTTGCTTGAAAGCTCTTTCCAATGAGTAGACGTGAAGCTTGTATGATTTTTAAAAAAAATTTAGCGTTGAAAACAATCATAGGCTAAATACTAAACCTGAATTTCATTTTCCCTGCCAAAAAGTGACATCTCTAGGGCTAAAAACTAAAATTGTGGAAATTAAGTCCAAAAAATTTTTAAATCAAAAAAATGACATCACCATTGTGTTCCTCATTCAAAATAAGGCCTAGACGTGATACTATTAGAGGTCACTTTCATTTAGTAACCGTTTTGTCAATTCTTTCGAAGCTGAATCACCTCGATCAAAGTCGGTTTGTCAGAGTAACTACACTTTATTGCAGATTTTTCTTTTAGGGTTGGAAAGTTAGCCCTAAAAATTTTTTTGTAGTCAAGTCGATTAATTTAGCTCGAGAAACCACCAAAACTGTTGAATTTTCAAAAATTGAATCATTTTGATGAGAAACAAAAATAAACATAGTCCTAAAATTACGATAGACTTATATAGCCCTCGAATTTTAAACTTTTTTCAACTCAACAATTGATACAATTTGGAAACTGAATGAGCAGGGCTTTCCAAAAACAAAAGTAAAGCCGCAAACCAGATATCGACCAAAATCTGACATTTGCCTGGCCCCAAATTTTTATAAACCGTTTTTTCCAGTTTTTGCTTAAAATTGTGTCTTATCGTCAAAAATCGAAGTCCCAAGTCTTTCAGACACCGGGAACTCTTTTGAGCCGATGCCTATAAAAGAGGGTCAGCACTTACCAAAAAGTGACAAGGCTAGGCTTTCCAAATTAGCGGAGTAAAAAAAATTGCTCTTTTGCTCAGCTTTATGTTGATGGGTTAGTTTTATAAATAAAGAAAATTTCAATAGTTTCTTGAAATTATAAGAGGTTCAACGTGATATATTTTTTAAGAGTAATTAACGTAGTGAAGACTCTTATATAGGTCTTGCTGACTTTTTTTGTTTTTTTTTTCAGGAAAAAGTCTTGAAATATTGATGCACTTAGGTATATATGCACTTTTTGAGTTTAATTGAACTTCATCTGCTGAAATGAAAGTGACGTAAATAGCACTTTCCAAATACGAACGTGCAAATGGCGCAAAAATTTGTGAACGATTTCTGGCTTCGAAAGTGGAATTTAATTTTTAGATTTCCAGCGGAATAAAAACTTTACCTTTTGATCCAGTTTTCTCAAGTTGGGTTAAAAGGTTATTGTTATCAAAAAAGCACCCATCATAAATCGTTCTAGAAATTCAAAGAGCTTAAAGGGCATCTTTTTTTTGTAATTGAAAAGTTGAGATTTTTCAATTAAGTCTTCGATTGGCTATGTTTTTCCTCCAGAATTCGAAAATTGAAAACTGTGCAAGTTTTGAGGAAATATTTCGTGTTTGGTTTTTTTTTTGTTTTCATTGACTTTTTTGCAACTGTCTTTTGGATATGCTTTTGTCAGATGGAACTTACGCGAACAAACGTATCGAATATTTTGTGGTGCCGAGCTATTTTTGTGTTGTTTCACTAGTGGTCCGAAGCTCTGCCTGGCATCTGTGTTCAAAGAAAGGGTCAGGTGAACAAGTTATAAGAAATTTTTTTATTAGATGACGCATGAAATTCTGTTAAATTCTGATACTGTTTTTTCTGTTAAATATTTTGTTGAGCAGAGTCATTTAATCGTTCAACGCCTCGATTTAAAGTTTGGCCTGAAGGTAACGCCCATACTCGGGGTATACAAACTGAAGTTATTGTCTGTAAAAAAATATAGTCGTTCAATCGTTTATCTTATCATTTATTGACTTAGACGTTACTGCGCGGATTTAGGGTTTTCTCTAGGGGGAAGGGTTCGAGGGAGGAGACTTTAAAAAAATTTAGGTTGATCAAACTTATTTTGCGAGTTTTTCCAAAACTCTCGCTATAAATATCCCTCTTTTCGCTCCTCCTTCTCAAAGTTAGTATATATTGGCACCGAGGGCGAATTTGAAAACGTTGCCGAGTTGGTCGACCGAAAATGGAAGCCGTTAAATAGTGCTAAAGAGAGATCCTTTAGGCGTACGACCCCCCTCTCCCTAAATCTATTACTAGCTCAGACTTTCCTGGCAATAGAAGCGATTTTAAATAATCCTTAATCCATTTTTATGTACTTCTCTAATGGTGCAGGTAATTGAGTTCCAAGAAAAATTAACGTTTTTTAATTTTTTTTCTCAGTCACAAAAAAGCAAAGCATGGAGCTGTGTCTGAAATTTGTACGTTCGCCATAATCGATTGCGTTCGCTTTATATCTCATTGCAAATCTCCTTAAAAAATTTGATTTTTTTCGTTTTTCAAAAATGATTCTCGCCTGATTTGTCAAATGTGCTTTTTCGAATCATTTATGTGCTAGATTATGCTAACTCTTTTTTTGAAAAATACGAAAAATTTTGCAGTTTTTACAGTCGTTTTATAACGACTGAACACCACTGGAATATAATTTGTATCTGCTCAGCTTCGCCTCAGATTCGAAAATACGTTTCTCGAATTCTAATTTTCTAATTTTGCGTCAACCTTAGTTGCGTTTTAGTTGTCCAAACTGCAGCCAGAAGAGTGAGATTTTCCCGGCCACAACTGGTGGAGCCAAAAAGATGTGCGAAGATATGGGAGTGGAGTTCCTTGGATCAATTCCTCTGGATCCCACTATTGGCAAGGCTTGTGACACTGGCATGCAAATAGACAGTGCTGCTGGGAACGATACGATTGCGTTCATCGCTACCGTAGTTCGAAAGGCCGCTCAAGCCAGCGAATCAACCCAATCGATGTGATGATTGGGTTGTCCGTAAAACGTTTAACATTTTGACGCTGAATGGCGATTTTGTTTAACCTTGATTATTTGAGTGTTTATGAGCTTAAATTAGAAGATATATTTGAAAATTTCAAAATTTCACTCAATATATTTTTTTAATCGATATGCTTTTTTATGCCTTCTAAGCACATTTAGTCTGGTTGCAACGAATACGCCTGGAACGGCAAAGGGTTCAAATCTGACCAGGGCTTGTTTTTTTTTTCAAACTGGCAATATGCAGTTTTCACTGTAGTTGCTTTTTATGTTTTTATTTACTCGTGCAATTTGTAGTTCTACGAAGCTGCACTTCCTATATATATTTTTTGTGCTTAAAAAACTTCGGTATATTTGATTTCGATTTATATATTATGGGTTTACTAACCTAACTTTGGCTCGTTAGAGGGAACCATAGTTTGTATGCTTTCCTCCGGATCGCAAAAGCATAAAAATCTCAACATAGAGTTTGTAGTTTAAAGTTTTTCATGTCAAAAGTTTTAATTTCGCTCAATAATTGGTTTTGAATTTTAATTAAACGCCGTCAAAGTGTTTTTTCTAGTGTGATTTCTTTGAAATTGTTCCGTTTTCTTTGGACTCAAAGGCCCTCTTTTTCTTTGTCTGTTAGATTGCATTGCTATTTTTGTGGTATCGAAAAAGATGGAAAGATCCACTTTGCCTCTGTGTCGATAATCAAATTCTCATTGATACCGAGTCATTTCTTTGTTGAATCGCTTTTGGTGCGAAGCTCAGCTTCGCATGTGTTAAAAGAAAGGTCAGGCCAACGGGTAGTTTTTTTTCGATCGATCACGCTTTAAATTAGGAAACGTTATCAAAACGGAACATAGACTTTTTTCAGGTAAACAACTTGCTTAACAGAAACTTAATCGTTTAAAGTTAAGACTGAAGTTTACTTCGATGCCTGGCACTATCAAGGTCTGGTTTTTGAATCGGGCCAGCACTCATTTTTTACACAAGGAAATTTTCTCGTCTTGAGAATTAATTGTTGGTCAATCGTTGCGAATCAACCGAATCGAGGTTATGGTTTAGTTTTTTGCAAAACTCATTAAACCTTTGACGTTGTATGACGATATTGTTTATTTGTGGTTATCTGCAACCTTAATTTAGGAGATATATTTGCAAATTTTTAAGTTTTACTCCATACGTTTTAACCGATCAGCTTTTTTACCCTTGCCATAAGCACTCTACTAGACTTTTTTTCCCTAAATAACTTTGTTCACAGGTCTCATTTCTTGGACTCATTCATCTACGGGACCTTTCTGTTGCAGCATACGTTTTTTGAAAATATTAGCAAATTAAATATCCGGCAAAATCGAAATTTACTTTTTCTGTTGGTTGTATTTTACCAACTCGATTTGTTAAAATTGCTTTTTTGTTATCGTCTTCATATGTTTCGGCCTATTTTTTAATCGACTTAGTGGCATCTTGTTGTTTGATTTGAGGGCAGAATAAGTTTTTGTGTGCATGTTTGTGTTCTGAGGAGAAGACGATTTGAAAGGTTTTAATTAGCTTAGAACTTTTTTGAATTTTTTTCGGCCTGAAGGTTTTCTGCTCAGGTACTTTCGGCTTCGTTACCGCTGGTTAATTATAAATTCAATTCAATCAACCATGTGGACCATCGGGTGTCGAGGCTTTAACTGCTTGAGATGGCAGAGACTTGTGGTCCGGCTGGGACCTGTTTTTTGTAAACTAGAGTTGTACTTTTTCGGTCTATTGTCCGTCTGTTTATTTTCGTCGGCTTAACGTAGCCCGACTTTTTTTGAAGGTTCAGCTTTTCAGTTTTCTTTCAAGTTATGTAACACACGTGCTTAAGACGACAAAGCCCTGGAGTTGGGTTCCAGTCATAAGCTTTAATTTTTTGCAAACTTCAAAATTTTTGGCTAATTTTGATTATTGTCTGTCTGTTTATTTTTGTCGGCTAAGTTCCGCAGAAAGGATGTTTCGAAAGTTCAGCTTCTTTCTAGCCTCTGGAAAGGTTCTTGTTAAATTTTTAACTGTTCAGGTAATTTTGCTCTGGATATTTTGGCCTTTTTTGCAATTTTTTTCTTTTGACAAAAACGGTTTTTGAAGTTTTTTCAAATTAATTTTTTTTGGTTTTTTTTCGTCTGCTTTAAACCTTAGTCATTTCTTTTTTTTTGTTGCAAGCGGTTCGAATAGGTTTTTAATCGATATCCTTTTTATTCTTGTGATAAGCAAGGGTAGTGCAATCGGGTACTAGTTTTTTTCAGTAAATAGTTTTGTTCGCAGGACTCATCTCGTGGAATCATTCATCTACATATCTACCGTATGTAACTTCGCGCCAAGTATGAAATTACTTTTGCGGTTAGCAAGCGTTATCAAATCGGAACACATGCTTTTTTCATAAAACTTGTTTAACTGAATTATTTGATAGCTTGATTTATTACCCTTGTGAGAGCAATTATGTTGCAATCGGGTACTAGACTTTTTCCTGTGATGAACTTTATTCAAGGGTTTTATTTACTGACGTTAGTTGGACTACCTCAAGCCTGGCGTTGATTAGTATCCCAACAGACACGTTGACCAACAGATATATTTCGAGCATGAATACTCTGTCAATTGGAAATATGATTACTATCTTGGTTACACAATTACTTCGATTTTGCATATCTTTATTTATTTTTGTTTCCTTTAAAAGTTTATCGGCTTTTGAATTTTCGGCCAATTGGACTTCTTGATATGTAATTTTTGGTAGATATAATTTTTTTCAAAACTTTTTTGACTTGTCGAATAACTCGCCCTGCTACTTTTTTGTCGGCTAGCGCTCCATGCTGTTTGTGATGTATTGCAAATGTGTGAAGATGTGCTTAGCTTGGGCGTTTTACCAAACTTGCAGAAAAGACGCGGAATATCAATTTACTACACATAAACTAAGCACATATTCCGCGTCTTTTCTGCAAGTTTGGTAAAACGCTCATGTGTTGCAATACGATGGTCGAAAGTTCGATTCCGACAAGGACCTATTTTTTTTGGAAACTGAAAGTTTTTGGCTTGAAAAAAAGTTGTCGGCCTAGCATCTATCTTCTTAGTTTTTGTCGGCTTAATCTCTACAGCACGGGTTTTTCTGATTAATTAATTTATTTTCAGCATAGTTTAAAATTGTTTTGATGTATGCCTGTAATAGTGCAGGTATTTTGAATTCGAAAGTTTTGCTTTTTTGTTAACCAAATCAGATAGTGATTTTAAAACAATTGTGTGTGTTTTCTTTTTGTTTTCCTCGCAGTTGCCAGCAATAAAGAATGCAGCTGCGTCTTAAATTTTCACTCTTGCGCTTTGCCTCTATGTTTTATTTTGTATTGCGGTCAGACTACTTACAGCCAGGGGCGGATCTAGGATTTTTGTCGAGAATTTCAAAAAAATTTCGAAAAATTGAACTACCTTTTTTTTAAGTCGACCAAATTGATTTTCCGAGCTCTCCTAGAGCACTAAAAAGACGTTGTTTGGGCCGCAGGTAAATTATTGAAAAAAAAAACAGGTTAAAAAACCGTTTTTAGGGCACTTTTTGGAAAACTTTGACAAAAAAACGCGTTTTTTTTGGCGCGCGCTCCCCTTCAAAGTTAGTATATATTGGCGCCAAAGGAGCCCTTAGAAAAATTTTAGGGTCAGTCGGCCAAAAATGGATTTCTTTAAAAGTACCAAAGGGGGGACCGTTTGGGTCTGCAGGGGGTCGAATCCCTGAGGGGAGGGGGCGTCCGCCCCTGCTTACAGCTCTGCTTTGCCTGTGTATTTGATTTTGCTTTGCGATCATAGTATTTATAGTGTTATGTCGTTACTATTTTCAGAGTTATAAACGAAGTATTTTTTCAATCAAGACGGTTTTTGAATGAAAGGTGCTGACCAGAATTTCGGGTGTTTTTTTCTTATTCCGCCCAAATTTTGTAATTTGTGAAATCAATATATAGCTGGTCATAATAATAGTAATTCACTGATTTGAAGTTTAGCCGATTGCCAACAAGGCTGAACTAGAGTGCCTATCTGAGAAAATGTGAGTGTGGTTAAAAAAATTTTCCTCTTGGATTAATTTTTTGTTTTTCTAACCCGGACCAGACTCAACAGGTAATTAAAGTTAAATTTCAATATTAGACAAAAAAACTAGATTTTCGGTCAATTCGGCTGCTTAATGTGTCTTCTAATAATTGTAATCAAAGCATCTAATAATTGTAATCAGAGCATCTTGAACTGCCACTTCAATCTGAGTGTCTATTTTCAGCCAACCAAATACAATCACAAAAAAGCCAGTTCAAGATTATGAAATATAAATTTTGGGAGGATAAGTACAAAAAACCCCAGAATTTTTAATGAGCAGTTTGAATTTCAGATGGTCGTTGTTCGTAGCTTTTGAAGGCGGCTGCTATGGTTGAATACGTCCCCCTTGTTCGATCTGCTTTTTCCGATTTGATGTGCCGAATGCAGTCACCCGAGAGAGTAGCCGAGTATCTTTTCTCAGCCAACAAAATAACAGCTTACGAACTGGATGCTGTTTCTTCTCTACCTTCAAAGATGGACAAAAACTCTAAGCTGCTCGAAATAATAATTGCCCGTGATGATATATCTGTATTTAATGCTTTTCTTGGTGGCCTTATTGATGTGAACGAACAAATTTTAATTGATCAGTGGTTTCCAACAATGAAACAATAGCCCAAATATTTCTGTAATTTAATTTAGTCTTGATATTGCATCAAGTTTGTAACTTGAGGTATAAGTTTGGTTTAAAACAGGACATTTCGCATCTGGGCAGATAATTTCAGTTTGGCAGCGCGTTCAAGTCTACACTGAGACTCATGGAAAATAGTACAAAAAACTGAAACTTGCCTGGAAGATTGCATGGTAAAAGTTGTAGGTTAATGTTTTACCTCATTTTCAACCGATGCACTTGTTACAAAAATTGAGAAGTGTTTGAAAAACCGCTCTTTTTTCATAACCATGTCACAAATCTTGTGATGTTTATGATTACCCTTGTGATATGCAAGGGTATTGCAATTGGATTCCTGACTTTTTTCCCGTAAATAACTTTGTTTGCAGAATAGCCAATTTAGGAGGATTGGTAACTTTCAATTCAATACATGCTAAATTTTTTTAAAAAATTCGTGTAAACTACCTTAGGTAACAAATAGGTGTAGTCGGTTTCCGGCTGTAATAATTTGTTCAAATAAGTTTTTTTGGAAAATGTTGAACTTTTTTCGGATTCGTGGTTTTCGGCCTAGTTTCCGTCGGCTCTTTTTCCGTTTTTTAAATGGCATTAATTTCGCCTGATACTGCTTTTCATCGGCTTACTATGTATAGAATGGATTTCGTTTTGATTTTATAATTTTTTGCTCAAATTGAAATTTCTATAGTTTGTCAATTATCAGAATCAGTAGAATTTAATTGATAATGATCGCTTCCTGGTTCATAAACATCAGCTCCATTCACATCGTAAGCATCAATTTCCAAGGCGGGCGGTGTTTTTCAAATGCATTGAAGTCATCTGCGTTTACAGATTCCGTAGTGGTGACGTCACATTCGAACAAACTACAACAGCTATCAGGTTTTATAAAAGAATTAGATATCATAAAAGAAACGCCTATGCAAGTTAACTGATGTCCATCGTCGGTCTCCGGTATGATGAACGGTATCCAAGGTTACACATAATCGAATAATCGAACATCTGAGAAGCGCAAACCCAAGACGCCATCGAATCCACCAAAGCACTTGACTATACGAAGTTTTTTTCACTGATCATCGAAGCAAATCTTTTGTAAAACATGGTAGCCTCCCGTGCACGAAAGAACAAGAGGTGTGATTCAACTATGTTCAACTTCTCTGATACGTTGCTCATAGTCGTTCTTTTTTTCCACTTCGTGCTTCCAGTACACGCTTGGCAGAGTACCTGAGTTTTATTTGGCGCAAGGATTGAATACTCTTTCATCGAAGAATGCCTTCTCAAATTTGCCTCCCCAGATTCCATTGGCTGAAATATCAAGACGCCCTTCATCGCCAGTTATTGATGTTCTCAAAGCCAAAAACTTGCCAAATAAATGTTCTAAAAGCGGTTCGACCTCAACATTTGAGCAAACTTTAGTCAACCTTTCTGCTGTTATGTCTCTCACTTCATTATGCCGAATAGCTGGGAAGCCTGGAGTAGGAAAAGACAAGCAATGCTCAACCGAGAAAGTTTTTCCACAAGCACAGTGAGAAGGGACATCTTTCAGCGGTCAATTACATCGCAAGCACAATGCATCCCAAAATGCTGCTCTACTCAGGCAAAAACCATGTTTTTTTAACGGCAACGTTGTGAACGAGTTTGACGCGCCTCTTTCGTTAGCCAGTTCAAATGCTTTGAGTATGGAGTACTGATAAGCGATTGCAACACAGTATCTTTCTTTCGGCGCGCCGTTTGTTCTCTTTCTGTATTTCAGTAGAGGCTCGTTTCTGCCTACTTGCAACCCCGTCTAAATCAGTATCGCTTGACAACAGTTTCTTAACAAGAGGTTCGCAGAGTCTCTCGGAGTCTTTGAAATTCTGAGCGGCGTCTGCTTCTGGGTTGATGATGTTCAAATCACGCAGTCTTGCCGGAAGCTCTAGAACAGATCTTTCGATGTCTCCTGGTGATAATCTACCAGTCAGTTTTGGCAACACCTGCGGTTTGATTTTGCTTTAGAGTTTGGTGAGTTTCATCATGTAGTTCCACTTCAGATTGAAACCATAAGTATAACTCTCCTGCCGGATGTAAACGCAGCGGAGCGAAACGGAGCAAGCGTATTCTATTTGTCAATGCCTTGTTACGAATTGTCGCCTGTTACAAATTGTAGCCCTGCCTCAAAGTCAAAACATATCTATTCATAATAGATCTCGTTGAAAAACTTGATTAACACTCTGATCGATTTTTTAAATAGTTATTTGAATGGAGCTGTATATCGAGTAGACTGGGGCATATTTGGGGGGAGGGGATTGGCGGACGCCCACCTTCTCAGGGGTTCGACCCACTGCTGACCCAAAGGGTCCCCCTTTTGTTCTTTTTTGGAGTATCAAATTTTGGCTGACGGACCCAAAAGTTTTCTAAAGGCGCCATGGGCGCCAAAAGATACTAATTTTGAGGGGGGAGCGCGCGCCGAAAAAACGCAATTTTTTGTTCAAAGTTGTGGAAAAAGTGCTCAAAAACGCTAGTTTTGGTCAAAAAAGTCGACAGAATTTTCGAATTTTTTTTTGAAAATGCGCCCCCTTCGAAAAAATCCTATATCCGTCCCCTGTGAGTCTGCGAGTAGACCATGTTTTTTCGAAAATTCATTGATATCTTTTGTCAAAATCTTGCATCAGTATTTCGAAAGCTGCCTCCCCCCACCTAGCACGAGCATCTTTTTTATGGTTCAATGAGTGATTTTACAAGGTCAATTATGAAGACCAAATATGTTTGTCATGGCCTAATCAGCATGCCAATTTTCATAACAACGACATAATGTGAACAAAAACAATATCAGTTTTCTCGATTTCTTTGGTTGAAATCCTTTTTTCCGCACATGATGAAAAGCTGTTTAAAACGGTCAATCTATTATATATTTAAATGCTGGCTTCACTATCTCGCCATGTTTAAGCTTTTTCAATGTATTATTTTTGCATGTTTAAGCTATATCGTATATTGCAATGGTTAAGAATTTTTTTCGATTTTTCTATTTGATTTTAGTGGTTATTTTACCAAGTTTAAATTAAGCAGCCCAATATTGAATTAGTGGTTGCGAATTTGGCCTCCAATTTTGAATGCCCGAATCATTTTTATTTTATCTAACGAGATAAGACGACTTTTGAGATTTTTTCAAAAATTATCTGAAATTTCAAACAACAAAATAATTTAAAAAACTTGAAGTTCCCAACCCTGTAGTTGGGCGCTGTCAGAGTACTCTAAGGAGTTACAAATCTTGCCTCCAAATATAAATGTTCAAATCCTTGTAGTTTTCGAGATATGATGTTTTTTGTGATTTTTTCAAAAATTTTCAAAACTTAAAGTATTATGATTTTTTTTTAATCTGAAATTCCCAACCCTGAAGTTGGGTACTGTCAGAGTACTATCAAAGATCGCGAATCTTGTCTCCAAATATGATTGCTCAAATCCTTGTAGTTTTCGAGATATGATGTTTTTTGTGATTTTTTCAGAAAATTTTCAGAAAACTTAAATTTTTATTATATTTTTAAAATCTGAAATTCCCAACCCTGAAGTTGGGTACTGTCAGAGTACTATCAAGGATCGCGAATCTTGCCTCCAAATATGATTGCTCAAATCCTTGTAGTTTTCGAGATATGATGTTTTTTGTGATTTTTTCAAAAATTTTCAAAACTTAAAGTATTATGATTTTTTTTAAATCTGAAATTCCCAACCCTGAAGTTGGGTACTGTCAGAGTACTATCAAAGATCGCGAATCTTGTCTCCAAATATGATTGCTCAAATCCTTGTAGTTTTCGAGATATGATGTTTTTTGTGATTTTTTCAAAAATTTTCAGAAAATTTTTATTAATTTTCTCAAAATTTGAAAATCCCAACCCTGTAGTTGGGTCCTGTCAAAGTGATCTCAAAGATTGCTACTATTGCCTCCAAATATGATTGCTCAATGTTTTTGTACTTTTCGAGATATGACGTTTTTTGTGATTTTTTCAAAAATTTTCAGAAAACTTAAATTACTATTATTCTTTAAACATCTGAAATTCCCAACCCTGTAGTTAGGTCCTGTCAGAGTACTCTCAAGGATTGCGAATCTTGCCTCCAAATATGACTGCTCAATTCTTTGTAGTTTTCGAGATGTGACGTTTTTTGTGATTTTTTCAAATTTTTCAGAAAGTTAAAAATAATTTTTTTTTCGAAATTTGAAATTACCAGCTTGATGAAGATACAACCTCATTGTCAGCGTACACCCAGGCGTCTTAAATCTTGCCTCTTAATATGAATGCCCCAATTCTTTTTAGTTTCCGAGATAAGACGTCTTTTTTTTCAATTTTTTTTTTCGGGAAACTTAGGTTTAAAAAAGTTTGGATTCCTTACCCTATAGTAGGGTGCTCTCAGGGACTCTCAGTGGTTGCAAATCTGGCCTCGAAATTTCTCCAGAGGCCCATTAAGTTTTTGAGATGACGCTTTTAAAATGGGAATTTAAAAAAAAATTTGTAATTGGTTGCAGTCAGAGTACACTAAAAGTTTTCAGATGTTGTTTCCAATATATGCGGTTTTTACTGAGTTGTCGAAAAGTTTCGAAGCACCGAAGGTGCGTTAAACGCTAGTTGTTATTAAATTTTTGAAAGAATAAACAATTTGTTCGGATGCAATAAAAAGTCAGTCGAAGATCACCGTAAGTCATTCTAGATTTACGCGAACTTTCAACTTTTGATTCTTTTCGAGATCAAATAGCTTTGAAAAGTCACCGTATTCTGTGAATTACAGGAATAAAGATCAGCTGTCTCAATGAAGAAACAAAGACAAATCACTGCCTTGCTAAGATGATAAGCTAAGCACACACTGAGAAAACTAAGACGGAACACATATTTTTGAATTTATTCGGAAGTTTTTTTTTCAATATATTTGTATATTTATACCCCTGGCTTGGGTAATTTTGCCCGACAATGCCTGATTTGAAAGCGAGTAAACCAAATGAAGATGACGACGACGTTAAGAAACTCATCATCGACCACGACTACAAAAAACTTCTCGCGCGGAACTGCTGCTGGGCAGGTCTGCACACACTATGCATTGGTCTCTTTCTCTTCGGGTACTTCGCGTACCCTTTGTGCCCATACAACCAAACTACGGCTATGGGTTTTATTTTCATTGGAGCCATGTCTTTTCTTACTTTCTGGACATACATTTTGATTGTGTTCTGTGATACACTTATGTTTAACGAAGGTATAACCGATTTTGCGGAGGTGTTTATTAACAAATTGAACCAAGCTAACTCGTTGTGGTTCATGGTCAATGCCACTCAATGGTGTCTGATGTTAGTCGGTTTAATCATCATAACTGCCTTTGCTGCGCCTTTGTTCCAGACTATAAATGACGATGATGAAGCAATCTTCGATGTTATTGCTTGTACTTCTTACGAGAAATGTTGTGACAAAACTATTTACATTTTAGGGCATATCTTTATTCTTCTCGTATGGGCGCTCTACGTCATTATAGCCATTTTGTTCCTCGTCTTCTATATTGTGCCAGCTTGTAAGAGATGTTGCAATAAGAAGAAGCAAGAAGATGATGACGAGTCGGAGGGTGAGGGTAGCATATCTGTTACCACGAGACCATCGGAGCTACCTAAACCTCCTGATACAACAAAACCCCCATCGTCCAAGCCCTCGTCCAAACCACCGAGTAAGGGCACTAGCCCAGAACCACCGCAACAGACCCCCACTAAAACTCCAACGGAGTCCGAGAAGCCAACTAAATCGCCTACAAAGTCCGATGAACCGACCAAAACACCTACGAAGTCTGAGGAACCGAGCAAAACGCCTCCCGAAACTGCTGAACCTACTGAAGAACCAACTGAGGATCCGACTAAAGAACCATCCACGGAACCTTCCCAGGAACCTTCATCGCCTCCGTCAGTAACCGCTGTTCCACCGCAGAAAGGAGGAAGTCCAGGAGAAGAACCATCGGAACCTGATAAGGGTCAAGAACCCACTGAACCCGCAAAAGATCAGGCAGAAAAAGATGGCGACCAGGAACAAGATGATCAGAACCCGGATGACCAGGAACAAGAAACCGAAGGTGGAGATGATCAGAATCTGGACGAAGAGGAACCAACCGAACAGGCCACTGGTCAGGAACAATCTGAACCGCCGTCGGATCAAGTGGAAGGCGAAGAGCCGAGTCAGCCTGGCAAAGATAAAGGAGGAAAACCCTCTGAGGCAGATAAGAAGTCTAAATAGAGCAACAATAATTAAGAATCCCGACTCTATTCTGCTCTCAGCATTACTCAGAATAGACAATACAATGCTTAATCAGCCATTTGAACTATTATATTGCAGTATTAGGTCTTTAATTTGCGTATAAATGAGTTTAAGCTTTACTGCGTTCAAGAAAATATTTTGGTCTGAGCGAGTGTAGGAATTAGTAGTGTTATGAATTGAATTGATGTTACTTCTCAATTTATGATCAAATCAGAAAAACTTTGCTTACGGCTTTTTTGCCAGATTCGGTGTCAAAATTCAGTCCGTAACCATATCAGATTTTGCAGAAAGTGGTATATTTTTTATTAAGTTGTTGTTGGGCTCTATCAAGGTGAGACTAACAATTGCCGCGATAAATTTTTGTGCTTTGAGAACCAAATGCAATCGAAGTACAACAAAAACTGAAACTGAAAATTGGTTGCTTCAGTTTTTAAGCAATATTTTTTCCAACCATCTCCTAGTTTCAGAAAAGCACTTTCCTTGGCCAGACGATTGGAACAAATTTTTTTTTCAAAACAGGAATCTAATTTTCAGTTCCAATTTTTGTAGAACTTTGATTGCATTTGGTCTTCTGAACAACAAAATTAATCGCGGCTTTTAGTCTCGCGGGGTAGGGGGAGCGGCGCGAGCACCCCTCTCCCTCAGGTATTCGACCCCCTGACCAACCAAAGGGTCCCCCTTTGGTGTTTTTCTATGCCAACCATTTTCGGCCGACCAACCTTGAAAATGGCCTAAAGGCGCCTTGGGCGCCAATATATACTAATTTTCAAGGAGAGCGCCGCCCCTAAAAAACAATTTTTTTGGTCAACATTTTCTTTAGAAAAATGCCCAAAAACGGGGCATCATTTTTAGTCATAAAATGGGGCAAAATTTCTGCCGCGCAACAATTTTTAGTCATAATAGGGGTTGTATAGTGTTTTGAGAGCACTCAGCAAATCAATTTGAGCGACATAAAAAAGGCCGACAAAATACCGCCCTTCTTCGAGAAAATCCTAGATCCGCTTCTGGATAGCACCCAACTTGATGTTTTCTTTTTTGCGAAGCTGAGATCGGCACGGAAGTGTTTTGCAGGAGCTGCCATGAAATGTTTTTATGTCATGTTATTCCAAGCTAGCTTTTTGAATAACCATTGGGTCCCAAACCTTATTTCTAAAATTGTTGTTCAGCATCGCGAATATTTCAGTTTCTAGGCCTACTTACTGTAGTACATTGGATGAGAACCTGAGTAAACTTCAATCTGGTTTTGTTTTTGCTTCTCAGTTACTTCTCGATCAATTTTCTGTGAATTGTGAAACCTTTATATTTATCACTTCCCCCTACAGAAGACAATTATAGAAATAAAAGAGCCTTAAAAAAATCAAAAAAATTGCATTATTTCACCGATTGTTAAACAAAGCAAGGAAAAATTGCGTTTTTTCTGCTGTTTTTTTATCTGACATTTTTTTGGTCCAAGTAACAAATTGGAATTTAAAATTTATAATCCAACCACTGAAAGTGATGATTCGTCGATTTTTTGTCTTGAAGATTTTTTATAGCAAACACAGCTACTACAAATAATACGGATAGGTCGAATGATATATCCTTTTATTGCCCTCTGTCTTGGGTCGAACGAAATAATAAAATTCAAAACAATTTTCAGTGTCGAGAAAAACAGATGAGAAATTTTTGCATTTAAGTCCGAATTTAAACTCGTTGTAAGCAGTTGAAATAAACTAGGAAACGCTTTTTTAAGTCGTCAAAACTTAATTTTACTCCAAAAGAAATAGTCATCAGTTTGCGCTGTTCCCACAATATCTGGCTAATTTTTTTAGGTATATGTATGAAAAAATGAAATGTTATGAAGGGTCAGACAAAAACAGGATTTTTAGCGACAACAAAAATTTTTACGATACGCAAACTTTCAATTGAAACTGAAATACTTTTTTTGAATAAATTAGCAGCATATATTTTAAGTCAACTCTTACAAATAGAGATCTTACAACATATAAAATAATTGAACAATCCAAATTTTAACTAATTGAACAATTCTTTGTAGTAACCGAAACAGAAAATCTAGTGTTTAAAACTTCTGAGGCAGATAAATTCACAAAAATCTTTTCTTCCAAGTGTTTTTGAAACTCATGCTTATCTTAAAATGACAATGTTGGCATTGCACTAATTGTAGGCTCTGGTGTTTTTTTGAGAAAAATTGGCGCGATTGTTTTGATTGTTATGTTTTTTGGTTCGAGTATTTTTTACCCGGGTTCAGCATTAAATAAAACCGTTTAATTGGAAAATTTAACTTTTGGGTTGCAATCATTTGGTAATGTTTTTATCTGATAACCAATATAACGGTTTATCATAAAACGTATGTTATTTGCAGTTTTATTTAACAAACGTATGTTATTTGAAATTGTTGGCGTTTCTAATATGATGAAAGAGGTGAATTCAAATTTTTGCGTTTCTAGCAAAAACAGCTACTACAAATAATATGGAAAGGTCGAATGATATATCCTTTTATTGCCCTCTGTCTTGGGTCGAACGACATAATAAAATTCAAAACAATTTTCAGTGTCGAGAAAAACAGATGAGAAATTTTTGCATTTACGTCCGAATTTAAACTCGTTGTAAGCAGTTGCAATAAACTAGGAAACGCTTTTTTTAAGTAGTCAAAACTTAATTTTACTCCAAAAGAAATAGTCATCAATTTGCGCTGTTTCCACAATATCTGGCTAATTTTCTTAGGTATATGTATGACAAAATGAAGTGTTATGAAGCGTCAGACAAAAACAGGATTTTTAGCGACAACAAAAATTTTTACTATACGCAAACTTTCAATTGAAACGGAAATTCATTTTTTGAATAAATTAGCAGCATATATTTTAAGTCAACTCTTACAAATAGAGATCTTACAACATTTAAAATAATTGAACAATCCAAGTATTAACTAATTGAACAATTCTTTGTAGTAACCGAAACAGAAAATCTAGTGTTTAAAACTTCTGAGGCAGATAAATTCACAAAATTCTTTTCTTCCAAGTGTTTTTGAAACTCATGCTTATCTTAACATGACAATGTTGGCATTGCACTAATTGTAGGCTCTGATGTTTTTTTGAGAAAAATTGGCGCGATTGTTTTGATTGTTATGTTTTTTTTGGTTCGAGTATTTTTTACCCGGGTTCAGCATTAAGTAAAACCGCTTAATTGGAAAATTATTTTTTGGGTTGCAATCAATTGGTAATGTTTTCATCTGATAACGAATTTAACGGTTTATCATAAAACGTATGTTATTTGCAGTTTTATTTAACAAACTTATGTTATTTGAAATTGTTGGCGTTTCTAATATGATGAAAGAGGTGAATGCAAATTTTTGCGTTTCTAGCAAAAACAGCTACTACAAATAATATGGATAGGTCGAATGATATATCTTTTTTTTTGCCCTCAGTCTTGGGTCGAACGACATAATAAAATTCGAAACAATTTTCAGTGTCGAGAAAAACTGATGAGAAATTTTTGCATTTAAGTCCGAATTTAAACTCGTTGTAAGCAGTTGCAATAAACTAGGAAACGCTTTTTGAAGTCGTCAAGACTTAATTTTACTCCAAAAGAAATAGTCATCAATTTGCGCTGTTTCCATAATATCTGGCTAATTTTCTTAGGTATATGTATGAAAAAATGAAATGTTATGAAGGGTCAGACAAAAACAGGATTTTTAGCGACAACAAAAATTTTTACGATACGCAAACTTTCAATTGAAACGGAAATACTTTTTTTTTGAATAAATTAGCAGCATATATTTTAATTCAACTCTTACAAATAGAGAACTTACAACATTTAAAATAATTGAACAATCCAAATATTAACTAATTGAACATTTCTTTGTAGTAACCGAAACAGAAAATCTAGTGTTTAAAACTTCTGAGGCAGATTAATTCACAAAATTTTTTTCTTCCAAGTGTTTTTGAAACTCATGCTTATCTTAACATGACAATGATGGGCTTGCACTAATTGTAGGCTCTGATGTTTTTTTTTGAGAAAAATTGGCGCGTTTGTTTTGATTGTTATGTTTTTTGGTTCGAGTATTTTTTACCCGAGTTCAGCCTTAAAGAAAACCGCTTAATTGGAAAATTTATCTTTTGGGTTGCAATCATTTGGTAATGTTTTCATCTGATAACAAATTTAACGGTTTATCATAAAACATATGTTATTTGCAGTTTTATTTAACAAACGTATGTTATTTGAAATTTTTGGCGTTTCTAATATGATGAAAGAGGTGAATTCAAGTTTTTAGCTAGATGAAAAATTATTCTTTTTAGGAATCTATTCGCAGTTCAATATGGTTTATCAAAGCGTCACCCGAGAGTTACACCAAAGTTGTAGCAAAAACTTTTCTCAAAGATCATTGTTTTTTTTTTTATCTCTATGGTGTTTGCACAATAACTAGATACTTTTTCTTAGGAAAACTATAGAAAAAATTTAAACAAGAATCGTAATTTTTCTAAAATTCAGTAAAATGTCACAATAAAGATAATCAAATTCTTTTTGAAATGAAACGAAAACTCTCAATAGGTTGAGGTGGTAAATTGCAATGATTTGTATCTAAGTAAAAATGGAAAAGTTGCAAAATCAAACAAAGTTAGCTGGTTACTGTGCAAGTAGCACAGAGTGCTCCGATCACATTCTTTAACAAATTCAAAAAAATTTTCTTCTGTTAGTTTAATTTTCATAGTATGAAAATTTAATCTGATAACAAATTTAACCTAAACTTTTGTATAAATAATTGTATTGGCCTAAGCATTTTTGTAATAGGATTTTTGCCGTTTGATCGACTGTGATGGAGATGCATTAAAACTCAGCTGCAAAGTTGATTCCGTAGTTGGACAAAAGAAGCAAGTTATAAAATGGACTGAAGTGAAAACATTTTTTTGTTAAACAAAATATTTCGATCAACAGAGATAATTGCCCAAAGTTTTGGGTAACATAAGTAACCAAAGTGTAATTGAAAGTCTTTTTTTTTTTTTTATGATGAGGAAGAGAGATTAACACCCAACTACAAAAATCTTAGTTCTTTATTGCATAACTAAGACATAAAAATTGAAATCAGAATCATAAGTTCATTTACTCAAGCACTATCACTTGCAAGGAATTAGTATGAAACGCAAAGTAATCAGAACTAAATCTCTCAATTTTGTTTTTTATGTATTTTTATGCATCGCGAAAATATTTAAATTTATTGGAATCCATTAGTAGTCTAACATAAATTAATGATAACACCCTGCATCACCAGAGAAAAACAGTAAGTTTTGTTGATTTTTTGCTTGAAGATGGCTGTTCTTTGATATCTTTCTGCTATATGCCTAATAACTTAATGATTTTTGCACTATGCATTTGGAAAAAAATTTTGGTATACAGATTATTACCGATATTTTTCTTAAGACTCAATATATTGTCAAAAAACGCGAATTTTTGATCGAAATGAAAAAACGATGGTAAAAAATTTGAGCTTTTCAAGTTGCATTGGTTGTTATCACGATAACTGGTTTAAAAAATCTAGAAAATTTGCAAAAACAAAACTATTTGAACAACCCAAACATGAAATAGATAATTTGAAAGAAAACTGTGATTGTATAAGGAAAAAATCTGAAGGCATACAATTAACAGGCAGTAAAATTTCAATAAAGTCTTTTTCAACCTCTTTTTCCTTTGATAAAACTTTTTTAATAGCAATTTCGCTCTGGTCCTCTTCGCTGAATAAGTTTTTTTTTAAAATGGGTCAAAAGTACTTGGATTTTTTTTCATATTTGGTTTCAGCTGTTTTTGCTGAACTCAATAACTTTTCAAACAAAAAATTCCTCGGGTAATTTCTTCTGGAAACATTGTTAGCAAAACATTTTATGTAATAATTAGTTTTTTTTAAGACGACTGATTTAAGTTGAATTTAATTTCAGATTCGAATTAACGAAAGTTTTTTTATTTACCAATTATTTTGATAACAAAATCTTAGTTCGTGATTGCATAACAATAACATAAAAATTGAAATCAGAATCATAGGTGCATTTACTCAAGCACTTTCATAAAATGTACTTGAAATGAATTAGTATGAAACGCAAAATATTCAGAACCAGTTTTCCCCATTTTGTTTTTTCTGTTTTTTTTGCATCAGGAAAATTTTTTAATTAAATGGAATCCATTAGTAGTCTAACATAAGTTCATGATAACTCCCTATATCACCAGAGAAAAACAGCAAGTTTTTATGATATTTTTCTTTAAGATAGCTGTTCTTTGATATCTCTCTGCTATATGCACAATAACTTGATGATTTTTTGTGCTATGCATTTGAAAAAAAAACTTTTGTTATACAGATGAATACAGACATTTTTTAAGACTCATATATTGTCAAAAAGCGCGAATTTTTGATCGAATTGAAAAAACAATGAGCAAAAATTTTGAGCTTTTTAAGTTGCATTGGTTGTTAACACGGTAACTGGTTTTAAAAAACTAGATAATTTGTAATTTGCAAAAGCTAAACTATTTGAACAACCCAAACATTAAATAAATAATTTTAAAGAAAGCTGCGACTACATAAGGAAAAAATCTGAAGGCATACACTTAACAGGCAGTAAAAGTTCAAAAAAACTGCCAAGTCTTTTTTCAACCTTTTTTTCGTTTTATGAAAAAAAAAACATTTTAGCAGCAACTTCGCTCTGGTCCTTTTTACTGAATAAATTTTTGGTAAAAAATGGGGTCAAAATTGTTTCGATTTTTCATATTTGGTTTCAGCTGTTTTGTTGAACTCAACAACTTTTCAAACAAAAAATTCCTCAGGTAATTTCTTCTGGAAACATTGTTAGCAAAAATTTTGCTACAAATTTTAGTTTTTTCTAAGACGATTGATTTAAGTTTAATCAAAGTTCAGAATAGAAATAATAAAAACTTTTTTAATCACCAAATGTTTTTTTACCGCAAACTGTTAAATTTTTTTCTTTCACGGGAATCATATGTAGTCAAAAATGGATTTATAATCTTTTCATTTATCAAAAATTAGTTTTTCCAATGATTGCTGTTTTTGAAAAGTTTCAATGCAGTCAAAACAGGCTTTTTATAGTTTTTTGGGAGAGGTCAGAAACTCAATTTGGTCGACCTAAAAAAATTCGAATAAGTTTTTGAAAGCTTTTCGAAAATCCACCCCACCCCGTCTCGAGCAAATCCTAGATCCGCCCCTGATGGAAGTCAAACCGGGGTTCAACTTCGCTTCTCTGTAAACATAATTTAACTTGTAATTAATGTACTACGGAGTCTTTACGGAATACTGAGCCACGGAATACTGTACTACGGAATACTGAGCCACCTAGATGGTTGACTATTGTTTGTGATGGAATTTGCTCAACTTTCATCAGAACAGAACCACTCGACATTTTCCGGCTTCACTTGAAAGCTTTTCAGTTTTGTAGAAATTTCAGTTTTCAGTTTTGTAGAATTTTCAATTTTGGCTTTAGTATGCGTTTTTGAGCGCTTGAGTTTGTAGGTTTAAGGTTCTGTTAGATTTTAGATTCTGCTCGAAAAATTTTTAAACGTTTACATTAGTCTATGTTGCTTAAAACCTTAAATTGTTGACAGTCAAAAAATAGGCCAAGAACTCATTAAAATGTATTGTTTTCGAATAACTAGTTAACTGCTTCCGGTTGATTTTGTACATATATGTGAGTGCAAGTACACTAAATATGATTAATACTTCAAACGTTAGTATAGATTGAACTTGAGAAAAGAAATCAATATTTTAGGAACCAAAATGAGTTTAAAAGGATTAATAAGCTTGCTGGATAAGTTTTGCGTCAACACTTTGGCAATGGGATTTCTGAAGATGCGTATGTTTCATCGTCCATTTCTATATTCTCGAAATCACAACCATTCGAGTCCTGAGAGAGAATGTTAGTTTTTGAGCAAATTGCAGTGTGGTTCTCTGTTAAAGCTTTCAACTCTGTACTTAACTGAAGACGTTCGGGTTTTAGCTGGTACCTCTCGTGCCATTCGGCCATCATTACGTTAACGAACCGAATGGATCCAGACGAGATCAAGTCTGCAACGACTTCCACTTCGGATCCTTCGATGTCCATTTTCATCACGACACGAGGTGGTCTTTCCGGGTCGACTTCTGGAATTCTACGTTTAGCTACGGTGTCTCGCAAGAAATCGGCCAGTCTTACCAGCATAACTTGGGTGCTTGTTTTTCGGGTTTTTGTGGCGCGTAATCTGGCCTGTTTTGATATACTTGGGTGCATAATTCCACCTGCAGCGTCAATTCTACTGTTGTCTGAGCCAGCGTAAAATGTAGCCGTTCCGCTGTGATCGGAAACGGCAGTTTCTGTGAAGAAGTGAACTGAGTATCCACACTTCTTATATGTTCTTTCTAATTCTTGCAGATGTCTCGTGTGCTGCGCATTGGGCTCAAAACCAACGGCACAAACTGATTTAGAAGCAAGATTTGTAGACCTTTTCAAAAAAGATAATGTTAACAACAATATATCTGGAAAACGGCGAGCTTTCAAATTAAAAATTAGAAAATTTAGATTTTTTTTGGTCGTGGGAGTTCCTAAATAATTCTGAAAATGAGCAAAATGAGGAAACTTAGTTTTCCCTTATTGTTCCGACTTTCAATACGAAAGTAACGGAATATTTGTGCTCGGGTGGGTTTTTTTCAGACATATTTCGACTTTTTAACTAGCCATTACTGGCGGAATTTTTTTATATCATTTGAAAGGTATTGTTGTCCTGAGCTTAAATTTGAAAAGATATTACACCTGTGATCGTTTTTCGTAAAGTTATGTGGGTTTAAAGATTGCCATTTTGGCCAATTTTGACACTTAACGCGCAATATATTTCGCTCTATTAATTCGTAAGCGGAGATTTAATCCGTCATAGAAATCGCTCCAAATTGATTGAAAGAAGCTTATTTGCCATAACTGATTTGTTACAAGGAGCGAAATCTATCCTTTTGTACTTCATATGGCGTGTGGGGGGATGATTTTTATTTTAAAATGTCAAATTTTAGAAAAGAAAATTTTCATTTTGTTTTATTTCATTTATTTTTTTTTGCTATACTGCTCCATAGACCTTAAAAGGCAGTCGGAACATTCAGGGCCTCGCCCTGATAGGAGCAGTCTTTGTTTTCTCTGCTTTTGGGAGGGATAAAATTGAGTTTCAAGTTCAATATTAAGGCACTAATAGTTGAACTAGAAGCCATTAGTGTAAAGTAAAGTTGCGAGTAATTTTTCAAATCCTGAGTCATGAATCAAACCCAGAAATTCGCCTCTGACTAGCAATTTGGATAGTCGTTTAACAGGGTGCCGGACATCAAGCAGACGGAACTTGAAGCCGAATTGTAAAATAAGGGACTTCAAGCCGCAAATTTTCTCATTCTATGAGATGTACAAACTGGGATCATACAGGCATACTGCTAGATGATTTTTTCAAAAACAAACAGCAAATTTTCATCCAACTTTTCCCTTTCTATATTCAAAAAGGTTCCCTCTTCATGGTTAAGTTGTTTGATCAATTATCTACGGATTATCCATTAAGCTTATATTTGATTTTCAATTTGAGATAATTTTTAATACTTTTTCGTCCATCAAAATTACAATTGAGGCTTCCAGGAGGAATGGGAGAGTTTTTGTCAGGAGTTTTCTTTGTTTGTCAAAGTTTTTTTGTATTATTGATAAAAATTATCCAGTTTAATTCTTCCTCTCCTTTGCATTGCTTCACCATTTCTGCTAGAGCACTTCAAAACAGGTGCAATGACGTTAGGTCTTTTGCTTACGATTCAAATGTTTCTTTCTATCCAAGGAAACACTTGTCTCTTTCATAAAAGTTTATTCAAAGTGTTCCCAGTGTTCTTCGAAAAAAAACTTTAAATTTTTACTTTCGTAAATTTTCGGTCAAAATTTCAGTTTTCTTTGTTTCCGAGTGTTAGGTTTGACGTTATGCAAAGCTTTTATCTGCTTTTTTTCCGTATCAAACCGTTAAATGTTTGGTTTCTGTTTTAACCAATATTTTTTCTCTTCTTTGAAAAACTTTCTATTTCAATTGCACTTTTTTCCAGACTTGCCTTTTTTCCTTGTTCTTTTTTTTGCACAAGATGTTCTACAATCGGAGGTCAGAATGATAATTTTTATCGGAATTCGCAGATTTTCGAAATGATTAATCCCCTTTGCGCTGGCTGCGACTTGAATCAATTTACTGCAGTCTTCTCACGGAACAGTTTGATTTTGCCAAATATAGATTCGTTAACTTTTAGACTGAGCCATGATAAAACGTTTCTTCGTTAAAGCTAAGGATATTTTTTAAGGAATTACCAGAGATTAAAATAAGTAGTTATTTAGACTCTAACTTAAATTATTATAAAAATGAAAGAGACCGTCTCTCCGACTAAGAGATTGAGTGAATCAAAGTGAAGTATGAAAAGGCTTGTTAAGTCAATTAAATATAAATCGGTCAATCACAGCAAATGTAATGCCACACTTGAATCCCTACGATTTTTTTCGAGGTAGTCAAAATTGACTGGAAAAAACGCACTATACGCCAAAAATTGTTTTTTTTTCTTCTATTTTGTAGTTCACATGGATTGCAAATGTGAGTCATATTGTGTTTTGACCATCATTTCAGTTTTAGTTTTTTGCGACTCTAGGCCGATTTTGCGTCTGAAACTTTCATTTGGTACCACTAATACAGCCGAAGTCGGTCAAGCTGTGGTAGACTTGAAGCTAGAGGTCGTGAATTGGTAGGTACCAGGAGTGGATTTGGGGGGGGGCGTGGGGGTGGGGAGGTAACGTTTCTTCTTCCCAGTGATTCGACCCTCTGTCCACCCAAAGGGTTGCTCCTTTGGTATTTTATAAGAAATCATTTTTTGACTGACGAACCTCAACTTTTTTTCTGAAGGCGCATTCGGCGTCTATTTTTACTAACTTTGTGGGGAGCGCGCGCCAAAAAAACGCGGCTTAAGTTTTTCAAAAATTGCAAAGTGCGCTAAAACCGCTCATTTTTTACCTGTACCTTCAAAAATTTGCCTCCGGTGCAAACATTTTTGACAAAATACACTCTGCTATGTTCTGGGAGCGCATGGAAACTCAATTTGGTCGGCCTAAAAAGTCCACAAAATTTTCAATTTTTTTTGGAAATCTGCACCCCCCTCTTTCGAAAAAGTCTTAAATTAGCCAATCCGCCCCTGGTGGTAACCATAATAGTTTTTGATTATTTTTTGAAGGTATAAACTTAAAAATGGGTTCTTAGCATGCAACTTTTTTCAAAATTAGAGCAAAGCAGTGACTGTTAAAGCCTCTTTAAAATTTTTAGAGCTAATAGAATAAATAAACTAAAAATACCAAGGAGTTTTGAAAATGTTTGACATCCAGAATTTAGGGGTAGTGGCGGTCAGCTATTGTGCCACCTCAATCTCAACCTGCCCCTCACCTTCTCAACTCACCCTGACCATCGCATTTTATCTACTTTCAAATCAAAATTTAACATTTAGCTAACCTTGATTGTCCGAACTCTTTTTTGAATACTTTGAGCACAGATGCATCCGGATACCTGCTCGGTTCGAACAACTTGCGCACTTGAACACCAACATTTGTGCCAACATCCAGGTAAACATGGTAGCAGCCGTCCAGCAAGTCAGAAGTTGCCGGACTCCATTGTCCATGTGGAGATTCGAAGGTCGAAATACTTCTTCTATTGTGTCCGAATAAGCTTTTGTAAGTAATTAGAACTAGCGAGCAAAGTAAACATGTCACAACAAATTTTTCCATCAGAGTTGCCATTGTCGGCAACTTCAATTGCACCGTAGCAGACGAACGGATGATAGAAGTAATATCTGTTTAAAAATGTATACATTAAGAGCAGCAGCCTGCAGTAGCGAGCAGGGTCCCCACTTGGTATAATTTTACGAAATCCAATTTTGGCTGACCACCCTCAAAATTCTTTTAAAGGCAGAAATTGTTTTTGAAATAGGGTGATTATAATATTTTCGGAGAGCTCGGAAAATCAAATTGGTCGACCTAAAAAAAGTCGAAAACGTTTTCATATATTTTTTTAAAAACGCCCCCCCCCCCCCTTGAAAAATTTCTGCGCACGCCAATGATTAAGACTTGAGACGATTTATATGCAAGGGAGAAGACCAACATACGTGCTGTTCAGCTCTTCGCGGAAAACCGTTGTTATGCCCCTGGTTAAAAATTACGTGCAATTTTTGGCTATTTTTCTGGACTGGCTAATTTTGCCTCACCCTCAAACAACGAGCACAAATCAGGTTACTGTACAAAAAGCTCTTTTTCGTTTTTACCCACCTGCAATTTTTTACCAGTAAAGTTACTGTTCACAATGTCCGATCGTTATGAAAATTGACATGCGGACTAATTAGGCTATTTCAAACATAATTGGTCTTCAAAATATACCTTGTAAAACCACTCGTTACATCATAAAATTGATAGTCATGTGAGGTGGGGGGGAAAGAACCGTACAAAAATGTGTTTTCTGTTTTCATTCTAATTTTAATTTGATTTCGATTTTGATTTCGTGGAGATGGCTGTGATTTTGATTTCGTGGAGATAATTTTCAAAATTTGCGATAAAAAAGTTTGCCTTGGTTTTAACAAAGGGGTATTTTCTGTCACACGGCCCATAATTATCAGACTCTTATTTGAGCTTCTGCTTGTTTTTGAAAATCCAGACTTCTCATTGGTATTAGTTTCAAACAGAGTGTTTCGAGATTCTAATCAAACATTGAAAATAGTATGAAAAGAAATCATTTTTGGGCAAAAAATTAACCAGACGAAAAACAGAAAAGGCCCAGAAGAATAATAGCAAGACTGCTCGCAGGGCAAAACACTGAATGTTCCGACTGCCCTCTAACTGGTTTCAGATAGTTTTTTATTAAAAATTTTTGATATATTAAAAATTTTGGACTGTCAATATCGAATATTAAATTATCAAGACGCAAAGACTTGAATGTTCTAACTGCCTTCTAAGGTCTATGGATCAGTAATAACACGAAAAATTAAATATATCGAAATAAAATGATTTTTTTGAGATTTTTTTGTGACGAGATATGTCATATCAAGTACAAAGTGATAAATTTCGTTTCTATTAACAAATTAGTTTTGGAAAATAAGCTTCCTTCAACCAATTTGGAACAATTTCTAAGACGGATTAAATTATTCGTGATGAAAAATATCGCGCGGTAATTATCCCAATGGGCCAAAATGGCAATTTTTAAACCCTATAATTTTACGAAAAATGATCACAGGTGAAATTTTTATTTAATTTAAGCTCAGGAAAACAAAACCTTTTGAATGTTATTTTAAAAAACTCCACCAAAAATGGGTGGTTAAAAGTCGAAATATGTCTCAGAAAAACACCCCTAGCACAAATATTCCGTTACTTTCGACTCTAGGCCGTTACTTTCCGTTACTTAAGTTTTTTGCGACTCTAGGCCGATTTTGCGTCTGAAACTTTCATTTGGTACCACTAATACAGCCGAAGTCGGTCAAGCTGTGGTAGACTTGAAGCTAGAGGTCGTGAATTGGTAGGTTCCAGGAGTGGATTTGGGGGGGGGGGCGTGGGGGTGGGGAGGGAACGTTTCTTCTTCCCAGTGATTCGACCCTCTGTCCACCCAAAGGGTCGCTCCTTTGGTATTTTATAACAAATCATTTTTTGACTGACGAACCTCAACTTTTTTTCTGAAGGCGCATTCGGCGTCTATTTTTACTAACTTTGTGGGGAGCGCGCGCCAAAAAAACGCGGCTTAAGTTTTTCAAAAAGTGCAAAGTGCGCTAAAACCGCTCATTTTTTACCTGTACCTTCAAAAATTTGCCTCCGGTGCAAACATTTTTGACAAAATACACTCTGCTATGTTCTGGGAGCGCATGGAAACTCAATTTGGTCGGCCTAAAAAGTCCACAAAATTTTCAATTTTTTTTGGAAATCTGCACCCCCCTCTTTCGAAAAAGTCTTAAATTAGCCAATCCAACCCTGGTGGTAACCATAATAGTTTTTGATTTTTTTTTGAAGGTATAAACTTAAAAATGGGTTCTTAGCATGCAACTTTTTTCAAAATTAGAGCAAAGCAGTGACTGTTAAAGCCTCTTTAAAATTTTTAGAGCTAATAGAATAAATAAACTAAAAATACCAAGGAGTTTTGAAAATGTTTGACATCCAGAATTTAGGGGTAGTGGCGGTCAGCTATTGTGCCACCTCAATCTCAACCTGCCCCTCTTCTTCTCAACTCACCCTGACCATCGCATTTTATCTACTTTCAAATCAAAATTTAACATTTAGCTAACCTTGATTGTCCGAACTCTTTTTTGAACACTTTGAGCACAGATGCATCCGGATACCTGCTCGGTTCGAACAACTTGCGCACTTGAACACCAACATTTGTGCCAACATCCAGGTAAACATGGTAGCAGCCGTCCAGCAAGTCAGAAGTTGCCGGACTCCATTGTCCATGTGGAGATTCGAAGGTCGAAATACTTCTTCTATTGTGTCCGAATAAGCTTTTGTAAGTAATTAGAACTAGCGAGCAAAGTAAACATGTCACAACAAATTTTTCCATCAGAGTTGCCATTGTCGGCAACTTCAATTGCACCGTAGCAGACGAACGGATGATAGAAGTAATATCTGTTTAAAAATGTATACATTAAGAGCAGCAGCCTGCAGTAGCGAGCAGGGTCCCCACTTGGTATAATTTTACGAAATCCAATTTTGGCTGACCACCCTCAAAATTCTTTTAAAGGCAGAAATTGTTTTTGAAATAGGGTGATTATAGTATTTTCGGAGAGCTCGGAAAATCAAATTGGTCGACCTAAAAAAGGTCGAAAACGTTTTCATTAATTTTTTTAAAAACGCCCCCCCCTTGAAAAATTTCTGCGCACGCCAATGATTAAGACTTGAGACGACTTAAATGCAAGGGAGAAGACCAACATACGAGCTGTTCAGCTCTTCGCGGAAAACCGTTGTTATGCCCCTGGTTAAAAATTACGTGCAATTTTTGGCTATTTTTCTGGACTGGCTAATTTTGCCTCACCCTCAAACAACGAGCACAAATCAGGTTACTGTACAAAAAGCTCTTTTTCGTTTTTACCCACCTGCAATTTTTTATCAGTAAAGTTACTGTTCACAATGTCCGATCGTTATGAAAATTGACATGCGGACTAATTAGGCTGTTTCAAACATAATTGGTCTTCAAAATATACCTTGTAAAACCACTCGTTACACCATAAAATTGATAGTCATGTGAGGTGGGGGGAAAGAACCGTACAAAGTTGTGTTTTCTGTTTTCATTCTGATTTTAATTTGATTTCGATTTTGATTTCGTGGAGATGGCTGTGATTTTGATTTCATGGAGATAATTTTCAAAATTTGCGATAAAAAAGTTTGCCTTGGTTTTAACAAAGGGGTATTTTCTGTCACACGGCCCATAATTATCAGACTCTTATTAGAGCTTCTGCTTGTTTTTTAAAATCCAGACTTCTCATTGGTATTAGTTTCAAACAGAGTGTTTCGAGATTCTAATCAAACATTGAAAATAGTATGAAAAGAAATCATTTTTGGGCAAAAAATTAACCAGACGAAAAACAGAAAAGGCCCAGAAGAATAAGAGCAAGACTGCTCGCAGGGCAAAACACTGAATGTTCCGACTGCCCTCTAACTGATTTCAGATGGTTTTTTTAAAAAAATTTTCGATATATTAAAAATTTTGGACTGTCAATACCGAATATTAAATTATCAAGACGCAAAGACTTGAATGTTCTAACTGCCTTCTAAGGTCTATGGATCAGTAATAACATGAAAAATTAAATATATTGAAATAAAATGATTTTTTTGAGATTTTTTGTGACGAGATTTGTCATATCAAGTACAAAGTGATAAATTTCCTTTCTATTAACAAATTAGTTTTGGAAAATAAGCTTCCTTCAACCAATTTGGAACAATTTCTAAGACGGATTAAATTATTCGTGATGAAAAATATCGCGCTGTAATTATCCCAATGGGCCAAAATGGCAATTTTTAAACCCTATAATTTTACGAAAAATGATCACAGGTGAAATTTTTATTTAATTTAAGCTCAGGAAAACAATACCTTTTGAATGTTATTTTAAAAAACTCCGCCGAAAATGGGTAGTTAAAAGTCGAAATATGTCTCAGAAAAACACCCCTAGCACAAATATTCCGTTACTTTCATTACAAAAGTCGGAACAAAAAAATTAAAACGTGTATTTAGTTAAAATGACTAATTAGCTTGCCTCATGTCAACCTGGAACAGTTTTTAGGGCGGAGTTATATTACAAGCATACAAAATTGCGCTACGCTTTATAGATACAAAATTCCGAACGCTTAGAAATTACCAGAACATGGCAAAAATGGTGATTTACAATCACCTCAAAACTTCAAAAAAAAGAATCGGATGTGATTTTTGTTCCGAAATTCGATACGAAAGTAACGGAATATTTGTGCTCGAGTGGTTTTTTTTTCTTCAGACAAATTTCGACTTTTTAATTAGCCATTTTTGACGGATTTTTTATATCATTCAAATGTTTTTGTTGTCCTGAGCTTAAGTTTGAAAAGATTTTTCACCTGTGATTATTTTTTGTAAAGTTATGGGGGTTTAAAGATTGCCATTTTGGCCAATTTGGGGCAATTGATGCGCGATATATTTTGCGCTATTAACGCGGAGATATAATCCGTCTTAGAAATTGTTCCAAAGTGTTTGAAAGATGCCTATTTTCTATAATTGATTCATTGCAATGAGCGAAATCTATCTTTTTGTACTTTATATGGCATGTGGCAGGATGATTTCAAAAAAAAATGATTTCAAAAAAAGCATAGTTTATTGTTAATGAAATAATGAGAAAGTAAAATCTTTAAGCTGAATATTACGAATCCGGCATGGAATGGATAAGGCCAGTTAGCTTGCCTCATTTGAATTTGGAACGATTTTGCGGTGCGGGGTAATTCGCCACGCGTAAAAAATTGGCGTTAAATTTTCAGCATCAAAGTATCACAGCGACTTTTTTGTCACTTTGTTATAATAATGAGCATTTCACAGCACTAATAAAGTCAAGATAAACTAGTGGTGAGCGCGCTGCGTCTAAATCTACGAAGATTCCTGGACCGATCCCCCATGAATATTTTTTTTCAAAATTGGTCTGAATAAAATCAAACCACTCCGATCATATAACCTCCAGTGTTTCGAATTTTTAGCTTCTCATAAAAACAACATATGTTGGAAATAAAATCTGCATCCTTCGAGTGTACTCTGACAGCACCAATTTACAGACTTCATAAGTTAAAACTTCGTAAGATTTTTTATTCAATTTTTTTTAATTCAAATTTTGAAGAAACATAAAATTTTGTGAAGTTTCATGTAAGTTCTTTAAAAAAAATTAAAATGAACTAAGAAACGTCCCATCTCGGAAACTGAAAACAATTGAACATTCGCATTTGGACGGAAGATTTGCAACTCCTGAGAGTACTCTTTTAGTACCCAACAACAACGTTGGGAAATTCAAACTATGAGAAACTTCAAACTTAAATTTTATAAAAAAAGGCTATTTTTTGAGAAAAAGATAAAACTTCCGACCTCGGTAACAAAAAACAATTGAAAAGTCGCATTTGGACGCATTTTTGGCATCTCTGACACTACTCTGACAGCACACAACTACAGGGCTGGGAATTTCAAATTTGTGAATTATTTTGTAATTGGAGTTTCCTTAAAATTTCTGAAAAAATCACAAAAATTGTCGTATCTCGTAGAATAAAAAGATTTGGGCGCCGAATTCGCTACCCCTGCAATTACTCTGAGAGCCCCCAAATACAGGTTAGGGGTTCCAAATTATGAAAAAAGATTTTTAATTAAAGTTTTCGGAAAAATTTTGAAAAAGTCATCAAAAACGCCAAATCTGGAAAACGAACAAGATTTGAAGCCTCATATTTGGAGGTAAAATTCGCAACCCCTGAGAACCTGAGAATACTCTGACAGTCCCCACTACAAATTTGCGAACTTCAAATTTTTAAGAAAAAATTTAATTTTAAGTTTTCTGGAAGATTTTTTTGTTTAAAAATCACAAAAAACGTCAAATCTGGAAAACGAACAAGATTTGAGGCCTCATATTTGGGGGTAAAATTCGCAACCTCTGAGAAGCTGAGAATACTCTGACAGTCCCCACTAAAAATTTGCGAACTTCAAACTTTTAAGAAAAAATTTAATTTTATGCTTTCTGGAAGATTTTTTTTTTTAAATCACAAAAAACGTCTTATCTGGATAACTACAAAATTTTGAGCAGTCAAATTAGGGGTCAAAATGCGGAACCTCTGAGAGCACCATAACAGAGACTCAATATAGAGATGGGATCTTCAAGTTTTTTTGAAATTTTTTATATCTAATTTCTTTGAAAAATTTTGAAAAAATTAAAAAACGTCAAATCTGGAAAACAACAAGGATTTGCGCAGTCACATTCAGAAGCAAGACTTACAATTCCTGAGAGTACCCTCACATTTTGAACAACAAGATTGAGATCTTCATAGTTTTCGAACTTTTTAAAATCTAAGTTTTTTGAAAATGTTCGAAAAAATCAAAAAAACGTCATATCTCGACAACTACAAGGATTTGATAAGTGAGATCTGGAGGCAAGATTGGCAACCCTTGAGTGTAGTCTGACAGCACCCAACTACAGGTTTGAGAATTTAAAGTTTTGTAAACTGTTATCTAAATAGAGTTTTCTGATTAAAAAAAAAAACACAAAAATTGTCGTATCTCGTACACTAAAAGGATTTGCGCATTCATAATTGGAATCTAAAACCTCGACCTTTGTAGAAATCCTGGCAGTATCCACTATTAGGCTGCTCATTTTAAACTTGGTGAAAAAAACACTGAATTCAAACCGGAAAATCGAAAAAAAAATCTTAGCTATTGCAATATACGATATAGCTTGAATATGCAAAAATAATACGTTGAAAAAGCTTCAGCATGGCGAGATAGTGAAGCCCGCATTTAAATATATTATAGATTCCTCAGTTTCTTCGAAAATCGAAACAACAAGTTAATGCAAAACAGTTCAAACAATAAAAGAAACGTGGACAAGATTACTCGGATACAAAACAGTCCAAAAACTACCAAACAGGCTGTCGGATTGAGGTCGCTGCGATCCTCCGCTCTCTTTTTTTTCTAAAAAGAGCCGCACCCTGTTGGTGCGTCTGTTGTAGTCATTTTTTTGGTTGCTTATGATTTTTTGAAACATTGAACAACTCTCGCCTACCGGCTTTTAAAACATTGATCACTTAGTTTCGTTGTTCTAATTGTTTTGTATCGGACTGTTTCTAGGAGTTTTTAGAAACAATTTTGGGGAATTGTCTGTATGTAGTTCATATTGATTTTCCTATTTATCTCAAAAACACTATAAAGGCTCCATTCAGCTAAAGTTTTGAGAAAATCAAGTTTTTTTGAAAAAATTGGTCCATAAGTGCCGTTTTGAGCATTTTTTGCAATGTTTTAATTGTTTGGAACGTTTGGAATGTTTTTTAACATGTTTTCTGCAACAAAATCCTAATATTGGCATTCTTAGAAAAAAATAGTGCCAGAAAAGGGATTCTTTGCTGGATGCCACGGTCGTTGAATCCCTAAAGGGTAAGGCGTCAAATTTTTATAATGCCAATTTTTGGCTACAAAAAGGAAAATGTTTGTATATTCTATGGTGGGAATCAGCAAAACAACGCCAAAAATCTTTCAAAGGTGAAAGACAGAAAATTACCTGAAGAAATGACAGCAGCGGTAAGACAAGGGCGAGTTTTTTCTTTGTGATGATGTTTTTATCTATAAAGATGTGTTATCTGAAAACATGAGTATAGAGGCCGATATTTTGATTAAATGTAAATCACTATGTACATAAAATAATGAGCGTTGATAAACTACGGTTTTTCCATGCCATTTATTAATGAAGTTGCTGAGTAAAAGAAGTGCGCTCCTTTTGTTTGCAATGAATAATTAATTTTTTGTTCTCTTACAGATGTTTTCTAAATTCTGCATGATAACTATAAGAACTGCATAAAAACCAACTTTAGTACTTGACAATTTTTCAACCTTAACCTTCAGTCTCAGACTCAGATTTCGAACGATGTTTTAATAAGTTTAGTCTAGTCACGCCAAATTTTATTCCTACCAAGCATAAAAATAGTTTTTGCGCTCGCTGCAGGTTCTCAGCCAGGTAAGTTTCAACGGACGAAAAATCAATTTTGATTACATGTTTTTGCTCACATTTCAGATATATCAAATGTTCTAATTGTTCACATTTAAAAATGCCATATAACCTATTTAGACTAATTTATTTTTGCATATATCCACTATCTTTATCTATTTCAGGTGCGGCACTGAACATTTATAAATCCAAACACTAATTAATTGGCAAGAACACGGCTTCTTTTTGTTTGACGCTTTTTCTGAAATTCGAGAACCAAAACTTTCATGAAGAACCGGTAAATCGAAAAAAAAACATAAATGCTCAGTCATTGAGATTTTTTGCTATTCTACAAACTGAAATTAGAGTCCACACGCAATCTTTTTTTCCATGTACTTTTCGTTCAGTGTGGATGGGCTAAAGCAGTTGCGTAATATGGTTTATCAGAAAAAAACGAATTTCTATATCTACAAAGGCATCTAGTTAAGTCCACAAACAATTTATGTGCATTCCAGTTTAAAGGGTTGTTAATAAAACAAACTTATGATATAATGTAAATGTTCTTTCAGCTTAAAAAACGCATTTTTTTAAAACTACTTAACCATTTTTTTCTCAACTAAGTTGCTATCCGATTTCTATTTATTACTCTTGAAACGATTTAATTTTTCCACTGTTTGAGCAATGCGTAATCGATACTGAGAAGGAGTTTTTTTCGTAACCTACAAAAAACTAGAAGTTTGTTTAAATAACAAAGAACGTGCCATTCTTAGATATTTTCAACACGAAAAAGCTGAACAAAAAACAAACTTTTTAAAAAATTTGTTAAATAAGATTCAAAGATATTACTTTGAGCTTAGAAACTTTAGTTTAAAAATCAACTGCAAACTATCCTCGTCAAAAAATGTTCCCTTTTATTTTTTTAAAGTGAGTAAATTTATTCAACCCAAACTCTCAAATAATCGCTTCAAATGTCATCTGTTTTAGCAATCAAAACATCTGATCCATATTTTGTTGTAACCATTCAAAACAATCTATTTCATTTATTTTTAACAACGTTTTTGCTTATGATTTCTAAGTTACGCTGAAGTTCGCATTAGGATGGAAATTTAGCTGTTTAAAATTGCTTTTGATTATCAATAAAAAAAAATTTCGAAAAAAATTTTCAGAAAAAATCTTGATTTTTAAGAGCAGACCACGAGGTCTATTAACTTTTGCTCTCATGAAACAGTCGCTTCCACCAGAATTCAATCGCCGAGTCAATCTTTTTAGTTTTTTATCTGACAAACATCTAAGTTTTTATAACTAGTTTAGGAGAATTTTTGTTATTTTTGCTTCTATCAGCCAAACAACTAGGTCCCTATAGGTAGATTAGAACAAATCAAGATGGCTAATTAAAAAAAAACGCGCCCTTGTTGACAGTTTCTCCGTAAGGTGTATTTTGGCTGAATTCCGTAAGCCATTAACCTTAAAAAATCAATTATTTTAATCATAAGCACATAGTTTTAGATGTTCTAACACAGATATAAAGTCATGATTTTTTTCTCATTTTCATCTGATTTTGTTGAGTCACTTCTGTGTTCATTGGATCTATGAAAAAAACTGTTAAATCCAAATAACTATATGCTCAATCACTGAACTTTTTGCAATTCTACCAATTAAAATAAGAGTCCACAAGAACTTTTTTTCCCTGTACTTTTCGTTCAGTGTGTATGGACCAAGGCAGTTTCGTTATTTTGATTTATCAGAAAAAGCAGATTTCTATATTTGAAAAAGCGTGTTTTTCTGTCCATAATCGATTCACATGCCCTCCTGTTTGCTTATAAATAGCTTTATGAGGTGATGAAAATTTTCTTCGAGCTTGAATTAACGCAACTTATTTCAAAATATAAAGTAATTTTTTCCCAGCTAAGAAAAATTCGCTTGAGTCTACCTAATTTTGCTACTGTTTGAGCAAGGTTTAATCACTACTGAGTAGGGCGTAATTCGTTCATTTCGTTACCTACAAAAAATTAGGGGTTTGATTCATATAACAAAAAATGGTCCATTCTTAGATATTTTTCGACACAACAAAGCAGAACAAAAAACTTACTTTTTCAATTTTGTTAAATGGGTTAAGAAGAAGTTAGAAAAAATAAATAGAAAGCAACTGCAAACTATCCTCACCAAAAATTTGTTACCTTCTAGTTTTAAAGTGTGTAAATTTAATCAACCCAAATTTTGAAATAGTCGTTTCAGTTTTTGCCATTTGTTTTAGCAACTAAAAATCAGATCCTTATTTTCTTGTAGTCATGCAAAACACAATCTGTTTCGTTTGTTTTTTTTTAAATAATGATGTTTATGAAATTCTACTAAATTACGCTGAAAATGGCACCAGCATGGAAGTTTAACTTTTCAAATGTTGATCTTGATTAGCAATAAAAAGTTTCCTTCGAAAAAAACCTTCAAAAAACCATGGTTCCATAAGAACGGACGATGAGGAATATTAAACTTTGTCGTCATGAAACAGTCTTATCCACCGAAGTTTGATTGGCCAGTCACACTAATTTTTTTTTCATTAGACAAACATCTAAATCTATATAACTAGGTTAGGAGAAGTTTTGTCAGTTTTGTTTCCATCAGCAAAACCACTAGCTTTTTATAGCTAGGTTAGAACAAATCTAAATGTTCAAATAAAAAGGTACGCGCCCTGGATGACAATGCTTCCGTGAGGTGGGTTTTGTTTTAATTCCGTTATTAATTAACCTCAAGCAAGCATTTATTTTAAACATAAAACACAACCTTTCCAAAGTTGCTGAATTTCGAGGAAAAAAAAACCTTTTTTTCAAGAATCGCTAACTCAAAAAGTTAAGTGCTCCATCATTAAAACTTTCAGCAATTAGACAAATTAAAATTAGAACTCATACAAAATCTTTTTTACTTGTAGTTTTTTTAAGTTTGCATAAGCCAAAACATTTACGTAACTTTGATTTATCAGAAAAAAACGGATTTCTTTAAGAAAAACACCTATTATTTTTGTCAAATTTTGTGCATTCCAATTTGGTTATCAAAAGCTTTATTATGTAATGTAATTTTTTTTGAGCTTGAATGAAGGCAGCTTTTTTTCAAAATAAAAAGTAACTTTTTTTCCCAGCTTTTTTGCTCTTACCGGCTTCTGAACGGTGATTCAATGATTCAATTTGATTGAATTATTAGCATCTAGGCTGACAATTATCGCCATATTAAATCAGATTATGGTTAATTGCATCATTAGATTTTGTAAGTTCAAATTGATTAGTTTTTTGTTCAAATAATCTTTAATCATGTATATCAATCAAAGAATTTTGGGTTTTGGTCAAGTAAAATTAATGACTAAAATATGCTGGACTTTCCATTCTACAGTTAATGCCAAAAATTTTAATCTGCTGCTTGAGGGAATTAGATCTTTTTTTGCGGCTTCATTCATATTGAAATTGTGGCTGCGTCTGATGGCTACACACGTTGTTACCTCACATCCACAGTTTTGCTCTTACCGGCTTCTGAACGGTGATTCAGTGGTTCAGTTTGATTGAATTATTAGCATCTAGGCTGACAATTATCGCCAACTAAATCAGATTATGGTTAATTGCATCATCAGATTTTTTAAGTTCAAATTGATTAGTTTTTTGTTCAAATAATCACTAATCATGTATAATAATCAAATAATTTTGGGTTTTGGTCAAATAAAACAAGTGATTAAAATTTGCTGGACTTTCTATTCTACAGTTAATGCCAATACTTACATTCTGGGGCTTGAAAGGATTAGATCTATTTTTGCAACTTCATTCATATTGAAACTGTGGCTGCGTCTGATGGCTACACACGTTGTTACCTCACATCCACAGTATTGCTCTTACCGGCTTCTGAACGGTGATTCAGTGGTTCAGTTTGATTGAATTATTAGCATCTAGGCTGACAATTATCGCCAACTAAATCAGATTATGGTTAATTGCATCATCAGATTTTTTAAGTTCAAATTGATTAGTTTTTTGTTCAAATAATCACTAATCATGTATAATAATCAAATAATTTTGGGTTTTGGTCAAATAAAACAAGTGATTAAAATTTGCTGGACTTTCTATTCTACAGTTAATGCCAATACTTACATTCTGGGGCTTGAAAGGATTAGATCTATTTTTGCAACTTCATTCATATTGAAACTGTGGCTGCGTCTGATGGCTACACACGTTGTTACCTCACATCCACAGTATTGCTCTTACCGGCTTCTGAACGGTTATTCAGTGGTTCAGTTTGATTGAATTCTTAGCTTCTAGGCTAACAACTATCGTCATACTAAATCAGATCATGGTTAAATGCATCATAAGGTTTTGTAAGTTCAAAATTGATTAGTTTTTGTTCAAAAATAATCTCTAGTCATGTATAATAATCAAAGAATTTTCGGTTTTGGTCAAGTAAAACTAGTGATTAAAGTATGCTGGACTTTCCATTATTGCTGGACTTTCCAGTATGCTGGACTTTCTACAGTTATTGCCAATAATTATACTCTGATTCTTGAAGGGATTAGATTTATTTTTGCAGCTTCATTCATAATAAAACTGTGGCTGCGTTCGTCCACAGTGGATGTAACCTTGTTACATCCACAGTATTGCTCTTACCGGATTCTGAACGGTGATTGAGTGACAATCAAAATCTAAATTCCTTCTCAGCAATCAAATCCAGCTCTTTTTACTTCATTTTTTCTGCGCACATTTCAAGGACGAGATTAAAGATGAGATTCCGA